ATCGTTACGTAGGTCTAGATAAGCGCTTGTCTTCTCACAGTGTATTTATCTTAAGGGGAAGAGGAAACGGAAAACAAGTTGACCCACTAAAAGTGGAAGCGTCCGCGAGTCTATTATGAAAAGGATAAATTGGATGGGGATAAAGCAAATCGCTTGATTATAGAGTACAAAAAGTTGAGATGTGATACTGTATTTTATCTTGCAGGAGCTCTAAAGTTAGTTCAATTGAACAACGTAGCTGCTGTTGGACGCTGCACCTATCACTCTTGGCTAGTTCTGATAGTTAACCTAAAAAAAAAAATAGAGGGTCAACAGACGACTGCGGAAAGGATGAGAAGTCTAATATCGGATGTATGTTGTTAGTATAATTTCCCTCGGAAGAAGATGTATCTAGGATAAGACACCAAGGGTTCTCAGGGTGCAATATCGAGGATTAGAAAAAACAGGGGACTTAACAAAAAGCAACAAAAAGCCAAGCAGCAGGCATCGGCAACAGCTTTACATATAAGAAAAGCAGTAACGATAGGGGAAATATTCTAAAAACTGGAGAGATTGGTGTAAGTGTGTAAATAAGGTAGAGTGTAGAATAACATAATAATGAGAAAGATAAATCAGGCATTTGCTCAGAAACGCCTGTGCCCCCTGTAAAGCCTATGATCGTGTACATCCCTTTCGGACTCAACCAGAGAACGCCAATGTAAGAGAGGAATTAGTCAAAGGAAAAAAAAAAAAAAAAAATGAACGGTGAAGGGATGAACGTGAACAGGTCGGTTAGCAAAGAACACCGTTACAAAGACTTTATTTCAAGATAACAATCAATATCACTAGGACAATGATTAACCCGATGATGGTCATCAAGCTACGACCCTCGCCCGCGTTCCGTCTGAATTTCCCGAGTCTCTTCTTTGCGCCATCGAGTCTGCTCGCATGGCGGTCTACGTAGCCATCGACTTCGTCAAGAAGGGCTATGTGTCCCTCCAGTTCGTCTCCGATCTGGATACTTAATTCATGTTGCCGGCCAATCGACTCTCCAAGGCGATCCAGCTCCTCATCTTGCTCCTGCATGATCTGAGCGTGATGTGCATGTATTTCAGGATTAGAAAGAGAGGAGTGGTCAAAGGTTGGGGGAGACGGGGAGTCACGGTAAGGGTGAAGGAGGGCGTTCCGGTTAGGGTCTTCTTCGTCGGCAGCAGTGGTGGCTAGGGAGTGAGTAAATCGAACGGATTTCGAGATGGGATGTTGCGGTGTGGGGTGTTTTAAGGTTGTCGACGTGCTGCTCGCACGAGCAAAATCCCCTGCTAGAGAGGAATCATTGGGGGTTTTCAGTGTCGCATCTGAAGAGGGGTTAATGTTGCCATAAAATTGTGATGTAAGGTCATCGAGTTGCTTTTTGAGGCTGATTTTCTGGTCTCGTAGATCCGCACATGACCTGTATTATTAAAAGCAAGAGGAAAATCGTTAGTGAACCCAGAGGAAGCAAAACACCTATGCATATCTTTCCGTGGCTAAAAATGGATATCGTCTTACGGATCGTCAGTCTCCTCGAGATGAGCAATTTGCGAAGCAAGTGATTCTACTCCGTCCCGTAGCGATTCTAGAGAACGGGATATCTCGCCATCTTGAGAACAAGGCTCGAGCTTGAGGGATACTGCTCTCTGCCGCTCTAGAAGAGATAGCTTTATGTGATCTGCGAGCAGGAAGAGTTGTGCCGGATTGCTCATCGCTGCAGTTGTGTCGCTGGGTACGGAGTAAGCTGGAGTGGAATCGGCATATGCCTGGCTGCGGATAAAACAAAGCTGGAGCTCCGAGTGTCTCACCCAGCGTAACGCACGGTGATTCAATTCAAGGACTGTTGCAACAGGGCCAGGCAGAGGTTGGTGATGGAGATGATGAGTATGTCTCGCCAGAAAGAGGTTTATCCGAAGACTGAAGATCGATGGCGCAGCTCTTGGATGGTTCCGTAACTCCGATACGCTAATCTTACTGGTTGCTTTGTTGCTTTAATACCACGTTACACACTTGCCCCAGCCCTACAAATCATGTGATAATCCCATGACGCCGTCGAACGCCCAGAAGGGGATTGTACTATATCAGGGGCTGGAATAAATTTTCTTACTTCTTTCATAAGCGATGGCGGGAGGTGGCTCATATACTCCAACTAGATGCACGTGCAAGTTTATCTACCTAGTCAACTAACTAACTATAACTGCAGTAACAAAATAACAAGTATCTTAACTAACTATAACTACATTAACTAGAAACTGTAACACGGTTATACAACTAGTTAGTTAGTTTAGTTAACTAACTAGCTAAGTTAAGTTAGTTAACTATCGCAGATGAGTAAGAGCTTCTTTGTCACATGACCTGCATCCTGTCTTGTCCCTATCTTCCATGGAATTTCTTCTTCTTCCGTAAGAGTTAAGACAGCAAACGCTTGTTCGATGGGTGTTTGCCAAGCGCTATTTACCTCATTGGATATCTTTATGCGGCCATTCTAGTCTTCATTCTTTGGCGTGGTTCATAAACTTTATCATATTCCCCCGCACTACCGACCTACCCTCGCAGTCAACGCGCCCCTAACATCTCTCTCGCGCAGCCTTTGGATCGCGAAATTGGTCCATCAAGAGCTTGGAATCGTATTCTGCGTGTCTGGCTGTTCAAAATCTGTTTAACCTGATTTCGTTGACGGAGACTGGAATGGTTCCGGCGGGGAAGGAAACCATGGAAGCCGACCAACCCGAACCTGATTCTCTCGTGGACCTTCGAGCTCTCGAGTATGTCTCCAGTTACGACGGACATCTTATGTGCCCAATATGTCACTGTCCTTTTATACGACCCATTCGGTTGAAATGCGATCACATATTTTGCCAAAAATGCCTCAATTCATGTATCAAATCGTCTCCTCTGCACACGCCGTTCACACCGCCGCCCGACAACTTTGCTTGCCCCTCATGTCGAACACCCACGATGGCCACCTTCATGAAAGTGCCTCGTATAATAATTAGCATGTGCGATGATTTGTGTGTGAAATGCCCGTTTGCCGCCCAAGGATGCGAGGAGATAATTCAACGTGGGCATATACAAGCCCATGTGGATAAATACTGTGATTACCGGCTAATGTATTGTCCTGGCGAGAACTGCAATTACATGATAAGGAAGAGAGATCTAGATCCTGACCGTCGGTGTTTGCATGAACTCCGTCATTGTGACAACTGCAAGGAACTTGTGATGGAACAAGATTTCGAGGCATGCTTATTTTTATTTTTATTTATTTTATTTATTTATTTGTTTATTTTTGGAGGAAGATGGGATTCACCGATGATGCAGCCGCTGACTCTTATGTTGATAGACACATACAAAGGAACTGTGTTCCAGCTTGAAAGCCGAATGCCCCGATTGCCACACTACTTTATGTCGCTATGAATTGCAAAAACACTTGGAGACATGTCTTCTGGCTAAGAGATCTTGTCATGCTGCTAAATTCGGATGTCCAGTTAAGCTTAGAATGGCTGAGCTTGCGCAACACGAGCAATCGTGTGCATTGGTCGCCTTGGGACCATATTTGGAAACTCAAGCGTCGCGTATAGAATCCATGGATTCAACAATAAGACAGCTGCGGCAACGAAACGAGATTCTTGAAGACAGCATTGCGAATATTCGCTCGACCATTGCGCAGATTTCTCCTCCGCAAACTAGTTCTAAACCAGAAGCTCTACCGATAGTCAGAAGTGATTCCCCGATATCTTTATCATCTGAAATACCCAACATTTCCGCTTCAGGGGCTCCCACGAGTAGTATCTCAGATACTGTCAATCTCGTTTCTCAAGAACCCATATCCGGCCCGCCTCCTTCAAATACCACCACTTACCTCCTTTCCATCCACGAGTCTTTGAGAGACGAAGTAACTCAACTCTCCAATGCAGTTTCTGATATTGATGCCCGCGTTAATATGTCCATTTTGAACGAGAACCTTAGGCTTAGAGACGAAATGGCCCATATAAGTGCTGGTGTCAACAACATCCGGATGCAGGTCCATTGGCTTATGAACCCAAGGCTGCATCAGAATCAGCGATCCGTCAATGACTCGGCCACTGGAGCACCTTCTGCTAGTGATAGCTCTCGGAATATGACCATGAGTCCTTCCGCTACCAACCCCTCAGCCCCTTCACCTCCCATTCAACGAAACAGACGGCTCAGCGATGGGGGCCGTGAAGGAACGAAATTGTGACCCTCAGGGAAACGACGCATTATTTTAACGAATGGATATTATGGCTATCTTTTTCTCGGTGATTGGGTTAGGAGTCACGAGTTTGACGTTTGGTCTCCGTAATTGATGCCTTGGTAGCTTTCCCCGGAGAAGAGGCGCTTCTGAAACAAGGTTCAAAGGAATGGTATAAGGGATGTTTATGTGATTTTCAATGGTACATTTCCCCGGCTATGCGCTAGAGGGTATGTGTCGGGATTTTACGTAAATTTAATATTTTCGTTTTTTGATACCTTTTAATGACCTTTCGGGCATCATGACTGACATCATGGAAGTTAAAGAGACACTTAATTCATATTTTCAGTTGTCTTAACATTAAAAAAAAATGACTCTTCGGAGATCTTTTGATATTTTACATCTTTGAGTTCATGTGCGGCCAACGCTTTCATCCCCTGAGTGGCCTTTCGTGGACCTGCTCAGAGAAGTTTCCTAAGTATTGTTGTTGGCGATAGCAATGCCAGCCGCCCCGGGTCTCGTTGACAAGGGATTGAGGAAGCATTTTCGGATCTCAACGCTTGACAGGATGCGTAAAACTCCACCGCAGTTCAACATCCCTATCATGCTAAGCCTAGATTGTTGAAGCTAAATCAGATTTTGAATCACGGAAAAGGGTGTCTGTCATGACATGATGGCCAAATATTAAAGAGTTAAATATCACCCTCACGTTCTTCCTCTAGGGGTCAGGATTGGGAAGACGATCACACTTCCAAGGTTCCAGTTCAACTGTCAGATATCTCTGTAAATGGTTAAATGTTGTTGGCTGCTGTCTCGTCGTCAGGTTTAACCAATTGACTAGTTAAGCTGTTAGTGGCTGAAAGCTCCTTAATTCCTATGAACTCGTATTTAAATCTTGAATGATGTCTTCGGTGCAGGGCAGAGCAGTAAGGAATTTTGCAATATAGAGCAGCCAGAACAAACATCCGCTGCCTCATGCAGCTGTTCGTCCAAGTTTTCGGTTTTTTTCTTTTTTTTTTTTTTTTCTATATCTTTGCTTTTCTTTCAAAGCCCTAGTGATATTTCCTTCCTATCTCTATTTAGCTGAAGATTAGGGGAATTTATGGAAACGTGAAAAATTTAAGTAGTCCCAATGGTGGAGATAAGCCGAAGAAAAAGGGGTGGCAGTTTGCGTATTTATGTCTCATCGGAAGGTGTGTGGCATAAAAGAGAGAAGAAGCGCAATCCACTCGGACAGACGATTCCTACGACATATATTCATACGCTGGACTGGGCCGCACTTAGGAAATCTCCGGATTCTTGTTCTGAAACAGGTCTTCGTAGGTCATCAATTATATATATTAAGATACCCAAACTCTCCTAAGATCTGAAAACCAATCCTGGAACCCCACTCTTCTGATAACCAGCCCCTTTGCTAACTCGTTGATGACAGAACAAAGGAACGTATCCTGACATGGAGCTGACACCAAATAAGACTCCACCACATTGAGCAAGATGTCGATGACCCTTTTGACCCTATCTAATTCGCCTGGCTGCAGATCACACTCTGTGTGGCCGTGCCTACTCCGCTGGACCTTAAATCGGGATTGCGAGCATTGACATCTTGTAGGAAATCGTTCTCCGAGCAGTCTGATCCCCTGCTTCAGTTAGCTCATGAATTAAAGATCAAAGGGCATTGGGGACTTACTGGTAAAGTTTGCAAAGGTAGCTCCCATCAAACGAAATGCTTCCAACATTATCGGAACTGGTAGCGCCATCGGATTAGCATTGCTGTCCCTGACAAGCAGGCGCATGGCACAAACATACAATCCATCAGGCAAAGCGAAACAGGTGTTATCGGCTTCAATCAGCAACGAGTTACCGACATAATTCGTTTCAGTGAAGATGGAGATCTGGTCTGTTTTGTTAGATGTAGGTTGGAAAGCGGTTCGATACTGAAATGGTACTTGCCGGCGGATCCTGCGCCATAGCGAATGCGATGAAGTTAGCCACAAAGGACGATATGGCCAAACGTTTTGAGAGAAGCATCTGTGCGTGTTTTCCCTTCCGATTTGGCTAAGAACGTAGGAGAGAGAAAAAAAATAAAAATAATCCTTTTAGTTGAAAAAGCAGAGGATATTGTCGGGGCCGTTAGTCCTCAGCTTTGAATATATCAGCCAAAGACAGACAGCTGATTTCTCAAGATGCGGAGAAACAGCAGCCCAAGGAGGAGATGGGCTATGTTTAAATAAGTTTTAAAAGTTGTTTAAAGCAAGTCATTTTTAGATGTTGCCCTGGAAGGGAAGACAACAGAAGTGAACAGAGCAAGCCTGAAATATCAGACATTTGATTTCCAACTGCCAAATAACTTTGCGGCAGCTAATGGATCAGCGGTGGTAGTTTTGCTATCACCAGACAATATCTGAACAACGGTCTCCGCGAGGAAGAATTCAAGATGGAGGTTCTTAATTTCGAGCTTTCATTTCTGATGTCGTTTCTTTCATTTTTCAGACTCGGATCTTTTTCCACAGGGACGTGCACCTCCCGCCCTGTCAGCAGAGTCGTGGAAACCAATGACATGGTTGTGTTCGTGCAGACGCCGATAAATGGGTTTGCAAAGATCGGGATCGACATGCGTGCGGGCTACGTATGCGGTGTTAGACTAACCTCAACGAGGAGGGGTCAAAAGCTTAGTTGCTGTTGTTCGACTATCTAGTCGAACTTGAAGAGCTTTGATGCCGGAACCTCTATCAGCGTTGGGCTGCCAGTGGAGGTCAACAAATCGTCAAAACGAAGCTGGGCAATATGCCGGAATAAACGTAAATCTGTATAATACATTCATTCCCCTTTAGACAATGCTAACCGCGCTTCGAAGGGGCGCGAGTAGTTAAATATACGCCAATTGAGAGACAGTTTTTCGTTGGCAGTTGACGACGATTGGGCCAATCCCGAAATACGTCTAAAAAAGATCGGCACCATGGACGGCTGTAACTAATTATGGGTTGCCAAACCAGATGTTCCAGAGTCCAAAGAAACTGCGATATCAGAGCGAGATATCATCTCTCGTGGCTCGAATAAGAAGGACTCTATGTATTTGGGTTTGGATGTCCCCCATTCTTTTCTTTAGCTAGCAGCAGCAGCAGCAGCATAATTTGCGTACGTGTTCTGGATATAACCGCCAATAAGCACCCGGGAACCCTTGTGAAAGGTGATGAGAACTGCACCAGCTCGCAGCCATGATATTCCCTCTACAGAACAGCTGCATCCCGCCGCAGATATGTTCACATTTGGCAAAGTAACACGGAGGAAAAGGAACCTTTTTCTCTGCCGAAGTTTCTTCATTCGAGAGAGACTTCTAAACATGCAGTTGTCGGCTTCATTCATATCACGGCGTTTCCCTAGACGAAATGTAGTGAGCACTCCAGGAGAAACAAGGCAACATCAACATTCCAGATTTGAAAGTCGAAAAAGTGACAGATGCTTGACCGATTCCATTTGAATGCATGATGTGAAGATGATGGCTCCTCGAAGAGAAAATCTTGTGTCATCCACGCATTGGAGGGCAAAGAACTTGTAATTATAGAACTCAGATGAACCCCTTGACATGCCATCTAGAACTCTATAGCTTAGGCTACAGAAAAATTATCAGTCTTGAATGAGAACTGCTTGTATGCTTATTGAACCATGCAAACATCATCATCATCATGAAAAGGCTTGAAAATGAGAAGAGAATTTGCGTGTACAGACAATAACAGAGAGGCAACCTGGAAGGTAATGGACATCATGTCCTGTAGTGCTCACTTTGCACCACGTACCTAACTACTACCAACAGAAAGCAAAGGAGAGTTGATCTAACCAGCCATCAAATGCAGAGGAGAAAAGAAAGGAAATGCTGAAAAATCAAATAATTTTTTATGCTCTCACTAATCTATCATTCAGTTTAGAATTGTCCTGCACCGCCAAATCTGCCCGGTGGGGATTGATAATAGTCGTAAGTATGTGCGCCTTGCGTAGGAGGCTGGTATTCGCTAGAGCTTATATGTTGATTATAGATTTCATAACCAGCTGGTGGGGGCATGGTATATCCAGGATCATCGTATGGTGTTTGTTGTTGTTGTTGTTGTTGTTGTTGTTGTTGATAGGCGCTCGGCTGCTCTTGGTATGGCGGAAACGGTTGAGATGGGTCAACATAACCAGATCCGGATTCCGCTGGAGTGGCACCCCTGCTCTGAGGATTGCCGTTCCCTGCCTCGTCTGGTACTTCACGCTTCGATCCACCACCACCAGACAGGAAACCGGTTAATTTATTGAGTTTGTTGAGTTTAGAAACTCCTGGGATTGGCAAATGAGAGAGCTGATCCCAGGGGATCGAGGAGGAGGACAATGTGTGGGATTGCTGCTGATGCTGCTGCTGATGGTGATGCTGGGAGCCACCACCAGAGCCACCACCAGAGCCTCCCAAGAAAGACATTCCAGGGATTTGGTTAAGATTCGGGAGATTCGGGAGATTGGGAATGTTAGGAAAACCACCGTGAGAATTACCGCCACCATGACCGTGTGAATGAGACTGGAACTGATTGTGGCCGCCGTAGTTGCTGTGGCCGTGCCCAGGCTGGCTATGGTTGTGGCTTGGGGAATTAGAATGTCCATATGTCTGATTATGGCTAGGAGCAGCATGTGCGTTACCGGTGCCGTGAGCATGGGGGTTGCCTCCAGTGTGATTCTTTCCAGCCTTAACACTTTCAGCGCTTAGAACGTTGTTCAAGTTAATTCCCTTGCTCGACTGCGAGTGAGCCCAACGTTCAACTTCTGCAAACATATTACGGTGCGCTTCGTTGTCGAACCGTCGAAATGCTGGATGATGGAAAACAGAGACGCAGTCATTCAACACCCGATCAACCGGGACATCGACATGTTGGAATGCATATAAAACACGAGGAACGACGAATTTCACAACCGCAGAAGCAACTCGCCCAGCGGGATCGTTGAGGATATTGCTGAAATGGTCCTTGGAGAGAAAAGAGTGGGTGGGGTCAGTGCAGTTCGGATTTGTCCAGGGCTCGTATTGAGTGCGGGCTTCTGCCGCTGTCAGTTCAGACGAACCAAGCTGTAGTTTTGCCGATGCAATGTTTATCACTGGCCTGATAAATGGAGCCAAGAGGGAGAAAATGAATATCGAGAGGGTTTCGCTGATTTTATCCATCAAAGAGGAAAGCCCAGGGATTTTCTCGACAGCGGAGGATAGATTTTTGACCACCCTATCTCTAAATTCTAGAATCGGATATATTTGGAAAATTGTTTCCTGTGGATTAATCTCTTGGGTAGCTTGTGATTGGCCATATCCAGTAGGTTGGTTATAGGGTTCAATCCCTTGGTGATCAAATTGGCCCCTTGATGCTCCATAGCCATCCAAGCCGCGCTGTTGATTTGACTGTGCCTGAGCCTCTGACTTACGTTTCAACCTTTCGGCTTCTTCAATCATCCCGCTCCATTCCGGGGACTTTAGAGAGCAAACTGGTGAGAGAACTCAACGCTCCAGAGGAGCCCGATCCGGACTGAGCAGTGCCAAGGGTATTGTCCATTTCACTGACTTCACTCTGAGCAAATTGATCTGAAGCTTCCCCAAGCAAACTGTGATAGAAATCGGTCATGCCAAATGTGCCGGTGACAACGGGGAAGACATATTTTTCTTGGATGTTCATCTGGGTTCCCACTCCCGTGTGAGGAAAGACATTGGTATAGTTCATTTCTCGTAACGCCAATTCACAATAATTACTATGGGCGGAAAAATCTTCCAGAGTATGACACGCTATAAATAGAAGTTAGCTTTGTAACTATGTGATTTAAGAGGTTGATAATTTGGTCATCATCAAATGAGTCTCGCTGCATGCAGGAGGAGGGTAAAAGTATACCTTGGCCGAGACACCTTAAGGCCTCACTCAAATGTTCCTCGCGGCCCTTTTCATGACGTCCACCCGCGAGGTAGAGTCGTCCAAAGTGTATACTTCGTGCAACACTGTATCTCACGTACCCAGCACTGGTCGCCCAATCGCCGCGTTCATTGGCTATGTAATTTTTCATACCAGTTTGGGGGTCGATTTCAAGCTCAATGGGTCGGATTGGGCCCCGAAGCCGTGGATCACTGTGTCGAGTGTTAATGGGCGCATGTAAACCAGATGGAGGGTTTTTTTTTTTTTTTTTTTTTTTTTTTTTTTTTTTAATTATGGACAGCGAGAGAGCGTACTACTGCCTGGCATCTTTCCCATCGGCATAACCCTTTGGATTGCTATATGAAATATAATAGTCAGAATTTTTTTTTCTTTTTTTTTCTTTTTCTTGTTTTCGTGCGCAATAAACGAAAATACCAGAAGTTTAGCCATCGTATATGGTTCGAAATGGCCCTTATGACGCCAGGGAAAGACGAACTCAATATGTTCTTCCGGTCTGTATACACAGAGCCTTTCAGCTGTGACCTCAAATTCCCCAGTCGCATAGCCAAAAGCGCCGAAACTGAGAATCCAGACCAAGATCCGTATAGTGTCGGCTTGTATTTTCGACACTGTTCCCACATCAACAGCTTGCGAGTAATCTCGCAACCTGTTGACAAAAACACAGTTAGTCACCAAGTAGGTCCCAACCATAATTGAGAGTTGTGTGCATTGGGTGAAAAGTACCAATTTCCGAAATAGAGACGCTTAATCATTATTCCTGTCCATTTGTGTCCCTTGATGAACGCGAGCGTCTTGATAGTATCCTCAATGTCTCCATGGCGCCAATTCTTGCCTTCGATGGTAGAGATGGATGCGATATCTAAGAGAGCAGTCCCAACCTGTAAGTATCAAGCATAATAAAAAGGAGATTGGGTTCGGTAATGGGTGTCAACGCCGCGAAATGAGGCGGGTTGAAACATACTTACTTCCAGCTCCGAAGGCGCACACTTGCGATGGAAGCAAGACAAGCAAAACGGCAAGAATTAATATGGATGACCTTGTGCCTAAGCCCATGATGAAGGTTGAATAGTCTCCTTTCAAATGTTATTCACGTCGGTTCGATGTTGGATCAGGCTAATATCCTTGATCCTTTGCGGCATGGGAAGGATGAAAAGACAAAATGCTATAACTGGTTAGTTATAACGAACTACAACTAGTTATTTGTTTTTAATAACAGGCGTTTTCGACTTCACTGTTGCTGAAATTTTGGGTCGGACAAAGTACCTTAGGGAACCACGGAAAATTTTTGACCGGTCGCCCGCTGAAACGCGCGCTGGTAGCGATGGATGGATGGATGGGTTCTTGTAATTAGCAGGCGATAAAACCAAGGGCTCTTTATCGCTGGCTAGAGTTTATTAGCGGGTACTTCGGTCCTCAGCTCTTGGTTTGTCTTGAAACTTGGCGATCCTCGAACCATGAGGTGAAGAGACCAGCCGGGGCCCGCTTATCATTTTTAGTAGTAAGTTATGTATGAAGCTACCTGAATGTCTATCTACACCAGTCACATCCACATGATAAATAGCTCTCTGGCTGAGGATTGACCAGGACAAGGCTTTGTTCGTTTTTTTTCTTCGGCATTTAGAGAACGAATTCAATCAAGATTCTGATACTAAAGTTGAAGCAGTTGAAACATTTGATTGAGGAGAGCAAGCTTGCGTCAGATGAAGTTATTGACCTTGTTTGGCACATTGAGGAAACAGACATATGGATGGGATGATGCCAAAGGCTCTGAGCTGGTGTTCATGACGGGCTTGCAAAAACAAATAACTCATCATCATGATGAAGGCTAGCTCCTTCATGTTCAAACTGGATGATTTTAAGATAAAGAAAGAAGATAAAGAATATTTGCATGATTTATTTCCTTCTTTGAGTTTGATGCAGGTCCATTACATTGCGAGCTGGAAAGACAGAGTCTAGCCACGAATCATCAACTTAATTTTCTACTATCAATGAGAATCTGAAGGGGAGATAGCCCATACAAATAAAAAGCAAGAGTAGCTTAAGGCGCCCCCCATGCACATGATAAATTTACAAAGGATAGTTTTCCAACTAGCAATACCCAGTTATGAGAAAGAAATTTGGTCGAATCTCTTCTCTCAAGCAGTTAAACTTCCAAACCCTCCATACCCTTTGACATCCTCTTCGACTGAATCAGAGCTAGAAGACCAAAGATTAGTCAAACAAGAGGGCATAATTACTTATTTATATTTATATATATATATATATTTTTGGGGGGGGGTGGAGGGATATTCTCAAAGTTTGCAAAATTGGAGCATGGTGAAAGATCGATATGACATTGAGTCAAACTGGCTTACGTACTTGATCCAGTATCCATGGATCGGATACGATATCAATACCATGCACTGTGCGGAGTAGCTTTCAGGCGACCATTGCACTCGGGGTGATATCGAAAGGCTTGCTTGAGCAGGGTTCCGTTGAGCATACTCTCTGATGTTGCGGTGCCGAGGAAGGATAACTATCCGCAGGGTGAGTTGGGTATATGTATCATGTTAGGCCTGGTTTGTCGTATTTGGCAGATGGCCGGGGGCCATGACGGTAAACTTCCCAACCAAGAGACTAGAATAATATTCACTTTGTTGTACAGAAGGACATAATAACTAACTCATCAACAAACAAACAAACAAATAGTTGGTTAGCAACATGATCCTTGGAATGGTCAGGGGAAGCGAAGTGAGGCTTGCTGACTGATCAAGTTCCGTATCCATGGATCGTATTGCTCCGCTGCCCTATCGTAACTGCGCCGAGAACCTTCGTACTGACCAACCACAGAGGACAGACAGAGAACGTCACTCTGCAACTAATCCGCCGAGCCCCATGAGTGGCTTCTCGTTCTTCTGAACGGAGTTCGCTCCGGGCAGATGTGTCGGTTCGAATTATTGGGTCGCACCCTCTTACGTCGCCGGGCCGGTAGGCATGAGGGGGATCACTCCGCTAGGTTGCGTTAAACCTGCTCAAAGGAAAAAGCAAGCCATCTCAATCAGTGAACTGATCTTCCAAGCTCTAGTGATTCACAACCCCAAGCATGCTCCATGAAATACTCCTCGCCTTGTCGGGCCATCAGTCTCCCCTTTTTGACCAGAAAAAGGGTGGCCCTGCCCAAGACGGTGTCCCGTTCCTCTCTCCCGCAGAGCTCGCCCTTCTTCAGCCAATAGCGGAGCTATGTCGTCTGCATACGTTGCTACGCAAACATACATCGCAAATATCTTCGTCACATACTTCGACAATCTGCCGGGCGGTGTCAACCAATATTTCTACGATGCAATTGGGAAAGTTTCAGAAGCAAATATTGGAGGTAGAAACGGCAATACTGGCAAATGATGCTCGGTATGTTGGCGGCCATGGGATTGTACCGCTATCTACCATTCGCTCGGAATTTTTGCCTTGGGTAGCGAGGTTACAGTGGTTATGGAAAATCACACAGTTCATGTCCCCAGATGCGGATGAGGACGCCCCCGGAAGAAAACCAGCAGAGAGGGTATGCACGGGAGCCAGCTTGATTGATCATCTCCGAAGAGAATCTCACACTGGATATTTGGACCTAGAAGACATGGCACTTCAACTGATAAATGCTGCAGAGACAGCATTCATGCGTCAACTCTCCATGTTCATTTTGTATGGCCAACTACCCGCGTTTGGTCGGGGAGACTTCTTCATCCAGGAGTGTCCATCAGCCGCGTATGAGAAACCAACCAATACCACCGACTTCGACATTCGAACGAACCTAATGCCAAAATTTGTGTCTCCCTCAACTGCCAACTCGATCTTATTCATTGGCAAGTCCTTAAACCATATAAGGGCACAGGGGAAATTCTCCGCGGGAGATGAGTCCATTTCCTCACTATCCAAGTTAACGCTTCATGGGGATTATCTTGATCACCTCTCGGCCGTTTCTTCACCGATATCCCCTGCTGCACTCACAAGCGCAATATCGAAGATACGAGTCACCTTGTCGCAGACTGCCCTGTCCGAGCTTCTTCCACTACCTAAGATTGTAGATATTATATCGTTGTTGCACGATTTCCTCTTATTAGGACGTGGCGAGTTTGCCATGGGACTGGTTACATTCGCTGATGAGCTTGTCAGAGGGAGACATCGGAAAGCTGAACTATTGAGGTCCGGGAAAGACAGTGGCTATTTGTTAGAGAGTCTTGCGGTTAAGGAGGGAGAAGTGATGGCAGTCTTGTCTCAAACATGGGCGGAGCTGTATCTGCAGCAGAATGAAGAGGATCCTGTGGATGATGAACTCGATCTAGCCAAAGAAATTTTACGTCTTTCCGTTAAGGACTTGAATGACAACCAATGGCCAGAAACTACAAAAGAAGTTGCAGCTACCAGCTCATCAATATCCGTATCTGAGGTTTCTTTCAATAACGCTCTGTTTGGTACTCCAACAACCTTATCCCTTGATGTTCAGCCCCCTCTGGATTTATTTCTCTCGCAAGGAGACATGGGACTATACTCGAAAGTCCACGCCTACCTGCTTGCTATTCGTCGAGGCCAAATTCACCTGAGTAATCTATGGAAGCTGTCATTTCTCCGAAGAACCCATCCGGCGCCTCCGCTAGCCAACAAACGTGGAGGGCAAGCAAGATGCAGATCAAATCGGGAGCGAGCTCATACCAGAGCTGCTGCTATCAGGCCAATCTGGATCACTGCAAGTAGGGCCCTATTCATCCTGTCAGAACTTACCGGGTACATGCAGGGCGAGGTTATATCTAACTCATGGCAACACTTGAAACAATGGCTGGATGATGTTCTACCAACACCATCGCGTAGCTCGCGACCTGGAACAGCGGTCTCATCAGCCTCCCGGCCAGATAATATCGCTACATCATTTCGTCGCAGCAGTCAGGGGGAACCGCCAACACATTCAGAAACCAATCAATCTCGACATGACCCGGAAGCAATCACAGCTGCCCACCGCGCCCACCTGACCTCTATTATTCAGTCCATATTTATAACAGACATACCGTTTACTCGAACACTCCGCAGCCTTTTAACAGCCATCGACCATCTCATTGCTATGATTACCCGTCTCGAACCTGTACAGCAGAGTCTTGACCTGGAAACTGACGAAGGGGTTGTGGATTCCCTAGCCGACTACGCTGGGGAAGAAAGGCGAATTATGCATGACCTTCGTGCAGCCAGGGTCGAGGTCGACAGTGGACTCACAGAGCTCATTTCTCGTCTGCGCGATATTGACGACAATCGATTTGGGGATGACGGTAAACGGCCATTCGATCTGGGAAACAATGGTGGTGATAATATAAGTGGAGGTGAATGGATGTTTGGTGAGGGCACAAATGCATACGTACCATTCAAGCCAGCCGGTGTGGATCAGCTGTTGATGAAGTTGGACTTTCTCAGCTCGCATCAGAAGGCTGATGATGTAGGCGGGTTTGAATTCGGGCAACACTGACGCGAACTTTGTCGTGACCAAAGTGCGTATCGGATATTGTTAGTTGTTCATTTATTTTACGGTTTTTTTCTTTATTTTTGCGCAGAGACGGACGGGGCGTTCAGGTGACTTTTGAAGATGCATCATGACTGTAACCGTTTAATTTTTCTTTTCTTCTCTTTTCTATTTATGCCGTTATGAGGGTTAAGTGCAATTACGGTGTCGGTTTTTCCTTAGCAGTGGAAGGTTTCTGGTGTTCCTAAAAACTACGTAGCATCAAAGTGATTGCCGTTGGGATATATGAATACTTTCCCATGTCGTCGAATCGTCGAATCAGGAAAATCGCTGACGAAGTTGCGACCCCTAACAGAATCCCGGGCGCCCTAGAGCGCTAAATAAAAGTAAAAATAATATATAAATACTGTGAGTTCAGGTTATTGTATACTTACTTGTCTTTTGAATTTCGCACTGCTCCGCGTATCTTCAAAAAATTTGTACAACCACAGATCCTAGACACCACCCAGCAAAGAGATAATAAATAAAAATCCAGCATAAGTAAGCTCGGAGGACGGAGGGCATAATTTCAAACGATATATATAAATGTGCCGTCACGAGAATTTCTCTCCCCTCCAGCTGTCGACGACCTACCCGAGTTGGAGCCTCGCCCAATTAAGCCCAAAGATTCCCCTTCAGCCATCTCGATCTCTTCCCCCTCCAGCATATCCTTACCCCCTAAAACTCGCTTGTTCTCTCTTTGCAAAAGCACCTTCAGCGCGAGCGCAAATCCCGCAACCAAGAGCATAAAGAGTGCACAAACCGCCATGCCCCTTACATACCATGGCCCATCCGTGTCCGGATACAATCTCGTGCCAACAAGTGGCCCACACTGTCCAATGATATTCAAGATTGCCATTCCGGTTCCTTTACCTTCTTTCGCGGGCTGATTGTCCATCGTCCATGTGATGATTACTGTGATGGCGGAGAAGAATCCCGCAGCAGCAGGGTAGATGGCTATGTAGCGAATGAGAATTTGAACGGTGGACGAGAGGTGGGTGTGGAAATGTCCCGTTAGAGCAATGGCTAGGTACGCGCATGAGCTGATGAGGGCGTGAGTTATGATATAGGGACTGCGGGTGCGTCGTCGGTCTGACAGAGAGGCGGTGAGGAGGACTATTACGAATGATAGAATGTAGGGCGGGGCGGAGAGGGCTTGAGACGTTAGGGTTGAGTAGCCCATACTGGTTGATTGGAGAGTTTTAGTTGGGCTAAAAGCTTTTGGAGATAGTTTGGCAAAGGGACAACGAACTCTTTGAGTATGGTGGGGAGGAAGACTGGCATCGAACTGAAAGCGACATTGCAGCTAAAGAACATAAGCTATGCAATTATTAGGTAACCGTCAGTTAAAAGGCAATCGTATCGAATGACTCAATCTTGAACTGACCGCCGTGAGATACGATTTGGGGTCGCGAAGCGTTCGCCAAATCTCGCTCCAGTCAAATCGTCGCTTGCGTCTTTTATCCCTATGGCTTATGCCGCTTCTTATTTTCAACCGTAGCTTTGCAATTTTTCTCTCTCGAGGCGTAAGATATCGGGCTCTGCCAGGGCTGTCGGGGACGTAGATCCACGCGAAAATCGCTACGATAATGCTAGGGAAACCTTCGAGTAGGAACAATGAGCGCCATGGGGCGATAGGGCCATCTTTGCTGAGCTTCACTATAACCCATGCAAGGGTGCTAGCGAAGGACGTTGCAAGCGGGGCTGCAGATATAAACATCCCCGTACGATATGCGAGTTCCTCACGCTTGTAGAAAAAAGAGAGGTAGAACGGAAGGCCCGGGCCAAAGGCGGCCTCAGCGGTACCAAGGAGGGCCCTTAGAAGCACAAGTGCCCAGAATGAGGACACGAGAGATTGGCATGCGGCAATGAGGCCCCATGAGAAGCAACAGAGAGAAACGTAGATATGTGCAGGGACGACTTTATACATGAGCATCATCCATTCAAAAGAAATGTATGTGATATAAAATGCCGTAAGAACGCATTCGAATTGCGAGGACGTAAGTCTCAGGTCATTTTCCAAGCCTGCGATCCGCGCGTTCCCAATATCTAGAAATGCAAATAAAAGTCTTAGGGCTTGCAATGCGTGACACAAAGGTGGGAACTCACTAGACCTGTCCAGAAACGATAACATATATAACAGTGCCATGAACATGGTTAGTTTTCTGTCAAACTTCCTTACCACGCGCCTCTCTTCTTCGATCGTAAAGCCCTTGGAAGGGAAGTCATCGTAGACATCCGTTTCTTTATGACGAATATCGTTTCCGTCTTCATCACTCTCATCAAAACTGAAGTCATGATGTCCCCTTTCCCGGAGCTTCACTATAGCATCGCCTTGTCCTTCCCCCTCAAAATTAGTTTGTAGTGTCCTGAGTTCGGGAGGCTGCGCTCGATTGGATGGTGCGGCGTCCCGGTCTCTTGATACGGAACTTTCATCTTCGGGAGTCAACTGGGGGTTCAAGGGACTTGAGGAGTTGGGGGACGGCATGTCTTTCGTTACAGAGAATAATGCTGGAGTTATGGAACGGAGTGGAACAGGGAGCTGGATGCTCAGAGCTCAGCACATTAGCAGTATAATTTGTGGAGCTGGGGCTCCGTTGATATGGGACACATGGGCGAAAGCAATATCTCTAATGCGCTGAACGGTAGTTACGACATGGGACGGATAGGTGCACGGCATTCAGCATGTAAGCAACACAATGTTGACACCACAGAATTGCAGTAAATCCACAGACATCACATGCTTTAAGTCGGAGAGATGTTGTTGATATTCTGGCTTTTGTCGCCGGAGCTTTCTCCACACTTGGGCCAACTGATAAGCTTCTCACTTGAAATTTGGTCTAGGGGAGCTTTGATGACTAACTAACTAATGCAAGATGCAGCCCCCCGGCTTCTGACCCCAACGTCAAGCACAGAGTCTTAAGACAAACAAGAAAAGCAGATGCAATAACTACGATATTCGAAAAATGGTATGGACAGAGTATCTTAGCCTTTTCTATTCTAAACACCCTTCCCGTTCTTTCCCAGAAGTACATACATTGATTATCGCCACTTCCTATGGCCAGCCCCGTAAATTCGGGGGTGGGGATGGGTGTTGAGGGGAGAGAGGTTTTCGACAACGTCGTTTGCCATCATGAACATAACCATAGGATCATTGTCATATGTTACCATGGAAGATTACACCAATCTTAGCCCATCGTCTCCTTTAATATGGACGGTAGCGATCTCCTCTACGATGGGTGGCTCGGTGATGACGCGAGCTAGACGAATGTTTCACACCACGGGAGGATGAGGAAGGTCGGAAGTCGCTATAGTCATGGTCATGAACCTCAAAGCGTCTTTTCCTGCCCCCACTGAGAGCAGTGGCTTTCTCCTTTGCCATCTGGAATGCCACCTCCAGTTCCGGAGCCATATGGTGCTTCATTTGGCGGGAATGCATGTAGGTGAGGGCATTTTCAGCCGTGTCGCGGAGGAATTTCGCTGCGCGGGACTTGGCGACAACATCACTATCTGGGATTGCCTTATATTCCTGCTGCGCGTTGGAAAAGGTGGCAAGGATACGGGAGAGGCTGTCCTTTATGGTTTTGAGTTCCTTTGCGTTGTTGGTGGTTTCATACTTTACGCTACCAGTTTTGTCATTTGGAGATTTTCCCTCAGTGATAGTTAGAATGGGGACGGCGATCGTCCCTGGCTCGGCGCGGGTAGCTAATTGTAAGGAATAATTAGCTATTTATGTTGTTTATTTTATAGCCCGTGGGTTTTCTTCTTCCACTTCGTTCCATGTTCATTTTCAACAAGGAATAGTCAGAAGGACACAACATACCATGCACCAATAGGCTCTTCACAGCCACATTCTTGATAACCAAAGCCTCCAAATCCACAGTTTCAACGCTCTTCATTCCCATCACCTCATCGAGGAACAACTCGAACGCACCCAGGTTATACGTCTCCGTCCCGTTGTTGGTTAGCTCGAGCAGAGCCTTATCATAAACGGTGATCTGCCCATCGCCCAATGCCTGTGAACGAGTCTTTGCCAGGGAGAGATGATGTTCAAAGACGTCATATAGCAAACAGAAGAAATCGGACTTTTTGAGAAACTCTTTCAGGACGGGCTTCACAGAGTCGATACCCTTATAATTCTTAACAAGTGCTTTTAATTCCTCTTTGTGCCCTGAATGCTTTTCATTGGGGGCTTCCGGGACGGAATGAGTTGCTGGGGCAAGCGTCATGGCGAGTGTAGGGTAATCTGTCTATATCTAATTGATGTCTTGGGTGCGATGATATTGCAACCTTCTCACTGCAAGATCGGATCTTTCGGAAAGAGATGGAAACTTCCAAATGTGTAGGTTTGGTAAAGCATGACATGGGGAGGGGAGGTTGGTGTGAGAAAATAAGAGACGCGTCAAGGTCAAAATACTGGACTCTAGTTGATATGTGCGTTGTAGTTATGCGGTTACCAGTCATGAGGTGTTGAAGACTCCCAAGTTGCGGGCAGAATGATTGTTGAGTAATAGACATCAAACCAGGAAGAACATGAGATACCCAGTGAGAATTAGAGCATAACTATAGGAGGAAAGGGATAAAACCACACCATATAGTTCTCTTAATAAAAGGAGCAGGAAAAAGATAGGTGCTTATTTTATGTGCAGTATATTAACTGACTCAGGAAAACAAAACACCATTAAACAGTAATCCATAGAGAGCAGCTTTATATGCAATCAATACAGGATGTCACTAGCAAGGCACACTGAATGGTAAAAAATTGCGAGATTTTTGATGGTATGAAAAATTCTATGAGTGAAAAAAATCAAAACGCACTCGGAAAAGTAAGAGAGAAAAACGAATTGTATAAACCGAAGAGAAGGGTCATTCGTGAATTCATTAAAGAAAGTCCGTGGGGAAGGAATCCCGGGATAAAATAGCCAGTATCCGGTACGAGAGCAGTAGCTCAGGATGAGTGGATAGGAACAGGGAATGATTGAACAAAAGAGGGGTGAAAATGTTGAACGGAGTATTTGGAGGCTATGAGTGCAACGAATGCATAGAGGTAGATGTTCATGAGCACTGTGTATTTTTCTCTTCGGCTTTTACGTGACTTGGAGAGGCATGGATCCAGATTCCATTTTCTCCTTGTACAGTAGTTATCTTAAACGTGTCAGCAAGCCCAGGGACTTTATACCCATCCCGGACGCAAACCTTCCACTCTCCATCATGAACACACTACTTGGCACGAGCAACATCAACCGTGCAGCGCTTCGTAACATCCAAACGTTCATTGCACTTCAATCACTGATCATGAGCGCAAGTCCACTAAGCTTGTTTGGATCGACAACGCTGGAACATTAGTTGCTTTCATCTATTTTGCGATTGACACAGGCATCAAGAGTTTCGATATCGATACCGTATTGGGATGCACAATCCTGCGTGAGGTTCCGTTGCGGGATCTGATTGCGCGAACGTAGCATACAGTAGGCAAAGCCAAAGTAGCTGAGGTCAGAAGCTTTGCGGGAGCCGGGAGGATGCTGGATATTAGCGGCGCAAAGAAATATTGTGTTCCCCTCACATTCTTCGTGCCTGCAAGATACCTCCGACGAATTGATTGATGATAACCTGGACGCGTTCACGTTAGCTTCTTCGGTCGAATGAAAATGAAAAAAATAAAAACCAAGGTAAAGAAGAGCCGTCGCAGTTTCTGGAAGTGCACTACTTACTTTCCGATAGTTAAACGAGAATTCATTGTTGATCATGTAAAGCACCTGAAGCATATTTAGTAGGAAGAAGATGCTCGACACAATGCTCAGAATCAAGACATTTGCTCATAACGGGTGCTTCTACGTTCACCCGGTTCAAATCGGCTGGGTTCATTGGGGAAAAAATCATATTTGCACGTTTGGGGGCGGGATTTGTTTTCGCATCTCCCACACTGTAGTGTGGGAGTAGTTAATGAATGTAAATTGCGCTGATAGATGATATGAAGATTAGCCACAAGGCCAAATCATATCGCAGTAAAGGAGCGCTGGAGAACGTGTAATAGTTCCCCGTGCTTTTCCATAGTTCTATATCTTTCCTTCCTCTGATGCTAAGCTGTCAAAAGAAATAAAGGAGTGCAATTTTCCTGGGGGGCCTTAGGGAAACTGAGTCGCTATCCAGGTCGCATGATCCTGGTTATCTGCCCAGGTGCACTCGAAACCTGGGACTTCGAATGTTTCTCCCTCAAGTCTCCTTAGCCCCCAAAGGCGTTGGATTAGGGTTTAGTATATATAGGAAGTGCAATTATTTTATACCTTTTTTGCCTTCTCGGTGTAGTATAGCCATTCTCGATGAGAACTGGTTTAAGTGACATTATTTCAAATGCACTTGATCTTAGATCGATCTAAATTATTAATTTAGAATCAATCTAGTCGACACCATTTAAAGCAGACTAGTTAGTGTAGTTTTTATTCTCTATTAGATTATTTTTTGATCATTTAATTTTAAATCTTTTTTTTTACAATTAATTTAAATAGATAATATACAGAGCTTTAATTATTAAATTCTTAAATTTAAGAACCGTTTTTCATAATATAGATAATACTATTACAATATATGATAATATAATAAAAATTACACAAAGAAAGTCATAGAAATAAATTTAATTAATCATTAAATAAAAATTAATATAATACATATTATAAATTTAAATATATCAAAAATAAATAATGGACTTTTAAAGTAATACATTAGATCATAACTTTTATAAAAATTGCATTTACTTAAAAATATCTAATCTTCAAATTTATTTATTATATATATTGATAATTATCTTTTAATTAATTTTTCATTAATTTATTATTTTAAATTATTTCAACAAACTATTTTTAAGTTATTTTCACATATACTAAATGTTCCTTTACTACTCTATAGTGGCTAAATTCAAATTACATAGAGAGAAGTATTTTAAATCTGAAGAGGTAACATTTAAAAGTTGAAAATGTCATCTGATGTGAATTAGATGACATCTGATTGGTAGTTAATTTTGATATCATCAGTTTAACTATTAAGTTTATTTTATATAAATTGCTATCATATCTAAGGAAGATATCATATATTAAGCTCTATAATAATTACCTTTTAATATTTTTTTATAAATTTTTAATAATAATAATTTTTTATGTTATAAATATGTTTTTAAAATTAAATTTTATATATAATTAAATTTATATATATAAATTATTATAATTATTAATTATATAAATATAATAATAATAATAATAATAATAATAATAATAATAATAATAATAATAATAATAATAATAATAATAATAATAATAATATAATTATACTTTTTATTAAAGAATATAATATTTAAATATATTTATAATATTATATATTTTAAAGCTTTAAATTACTTAGTTATTAAATAGTTTTTATCAATTAATTAATTAATTAATTTTTTATTATTAATATAAATAATAATTAAATAGTTATTTAAATAACTTATAAATAAAAATTTTTATATGTTAAAAGTTTATTAATTTTTTTAAAAATTATAAAAATAATTATATTTATATATTTATAAATTTTATTATTAAATTAATATATAATTTTAAGTATAATATTTAAATTATAAAGTTATTATTAAAAAAATTTATATAAAAAATTTATAATAAGTTTTATATATCTTTTTATTAAAGATAAAAATAATTTTAAAATAAATAATAAAGTAAAAAGAATATCTAAAAGTTTATTAAAATTATACTTTAAAAAGTATATATAAATATTTTAAAGATTAAAATATAAACTTAAATAAAAATTTTATTCTTTAAATAAATTTATTTTTATATTAAATAAAAAAAATAATATATTTTTAAAGCTTTTAATTTTTATTATTATTTAATTTTTTATTATAATTATATAATTATTTTTATATTTAACTATACTATTCTCAATATAAAAGTTAAATATAAAAATTAAAAAATATATTAAAATTACCTTTATCAATAATAATAATAATAATATATATATATAGTATATTATAATATGCAGTAGTGTCTTAGTGATAGTACAAGGAAATGTCATATTTTATAGTTAAACCCTATTGAAATTTTTTTTACATGAACATGATTAAAGATATGCCAGGAGCTCTTTACCAGATGAACAGTAACTAGTTAGTCATCTCTCCCTCTTATGTAAGGGTAGTTTCAAACTTCATAGTTAACTAAATAGTTGTTTACAATTTCTCAATCCCAAATTCTGTCCCAATCTTAATTTTCTAATGTCAATCCATAATAATCTAACCCTGACCCACCCCTAAGCCAGTTCAAAGGACTGAGGGTGGTAGTGGTAGTGGTAGTGGTTGTGTGTGTGTGTGTGTGTGTGTGTGTGTGTGTGTGTGTGTGTGTGTGTGTGTGTGTGTGTGTGTGTGTGGATGAGTCCGGCTAAAGGGAACGCAATGATAATCTCCCCAAATGTTAACTAACTAGTCCGGATAGTCCTTTTTTAAACCACCACCGTACACGTTCGAGGGTGGAGATATCTTGCTGGGGGAACGGAGGACACCCCTACCATAGGTTATTCTGAGGGTTGGCATCCAAAGACAGGAATACGCAAGGTGGCTTCGTTGGGCTACGCTAGGTGTCCTCTTGTAACTATGTATGATCTCGGTTGATGGAAACTTCCAAGGTTCAAGCGGAAACTCATAATTCGTCCCGGCAGGGGAAGAAAGAGATGGGGAAGATATCATTCAGTTATTCCCTATTTCGACAAGTCCAGACCTCTGGCGCACAAGTTTAGTTCATCATTCTGCAAAGTCCTCGATGGGTTGAGAGATCGCTTTGTATACGGCAATATTTTTCTCCTTTCTGCTCTTCCTGGTTGAAGCGGTTAAGCAATCTGTCTCTCCACCCGGCTCTTCTGCCAAACACTTCCTAGATGCAGTTGATGAAGAACTTTGAGAAAGACAGGGGGACAGGCACATCTAACGCATGACCCACATCATAATCTTATAATCCAATTACCCATGTTCATTCGGCATATCCATCCGTCAAAATTCAAAGTTCTGGAGAACCTTCATTGCTTCATAGTTCGCCAAGAGTTTGGTTTTATACGCACCAGAGGCGAGATATTACCGAAACACGAAGGGACTTCTAGGAAAAGCGGATGGAGTTCGAAAATTTGCCATCACAGTAATAGTTGATAAGAATAATTGGTAGAATTGGGAGGACACCCAACCGACCAAGCCAAGCAAGAGACGTGGAATTTCTAATTATCAGTTGGCCAATTCCATTAGTTCGGGATTTCGTTGTCAAGTTTTTTGCGAAATTAATTTTCGACGTTAACTAGGACGCTGAAACCTTTTAATAGATGCTTCATCGCGCAGGAACCGGATTTATTCTGCCAGCGTCATTACTGAATATATCACCAATTCCCTAGATAGTTGTTGGGGTGCATTTTTCGGAGTCCGATTTTCAAACCAAATGTTCCAGCCCAGAATTCAAATAAGCGCGACCTTGGGATGAAAGAGTCAAGGTTAACTTTCGCCAGGAAATTTTTCCCGGAGGTTTGGGAGGGGAAAAACTGATTGGGTTTTGGGAGAACCACCAACTCTATTTTGATGGAACCTTGGGAAAGGATTTCCCAAGCACAAACCGTAGTTTTAGTGAAGATGCTGCCCTGAAAGTTGAAGTCCTCCCGCTGGTTTCCTAGGCTGCGACTTGGGCCATAGCATGCAATACGAGCCTTGTCCCTGCGCAGAAAAGTAGATGAAACTGGATTTTAATAGTTGGTGGCCAGTTAGTTAGCAGTTACTCCGCAGTTAGTTAACTAGTGGTTCCGAAGTCGCGGATGCAGGTGATGCCAGTCATTCGGGGTAGAGTATTTTTGCGCGGCATCGGGGGTTCGTGAGATCCGGCTGCAAGCTCTGGAGAGCAGGAGTAAACCTTCCAAAGAACAATGTTAGAACCAGATAATTTTACATAGAAACCATCCGTAGGTTGGCCCTCTTGGTCCGTTTCGAGAACTTGGGCAAAAGATAAAGAAAGACAGGTACAGAGAATGCGTAACCAGAAATTTCCTGACAGTGGTTCCGCCCGCTTGTGTTTGAGTAGGGAAACCCGCTTTTAAAACTGTTGCATGTGAAACTTACTTTTGCTATTCCACAGTATTTTAACTAACTAGCTATAGTTAAATAAATCATCGCTTAAACTCGAGTGTGCTGTTGACAAGGGATAGAAGGAGAAGTATTTGGGTTCGGAACAGAGCTAGGTACGTAACTAGCTACTAACTACCGTGCGTACAAACGGTACAGAGACATGGTCGGGGGGGGGGGGGGGGGGGATCAGCGTATGTTATGTATTTATATCTCCCAAATATTTTACATGTAAGGTCATTCACGAGCATCCACAGTGTGAAAGCAGCCCCGGCTAAAATATGGTGGTTATGTTGCATTGCGGTGAGCTCACGGCCGCTCTCTGTGATCGCAGACTCCAGCTGCTAGCTAAAATAAATGAATGGGGATGCGCAGTGTGTGATTTGATGGGAATACCTCCTACATATTGCCAGGTAACTAACTAACGATCGCGAGAGGCCATTGATAATATCTATTGACCAACTATCTCCAGCTGTTGCACACTGTCTGACTAAGTTAATAACTAATTCACTGACCAATGTTTGATACGAGCAAGTTTCAAGGTTACGTCGTTCACCTTGTCCCTTCCAGCCCGTCAACCGGTCAACCTTAAATAACTATCCACATCCCCAAACTGTAGTTCTCTTATAGTTTCTACGACTAGAGCACGCACCATTCAAACTCATTTGTGTTTTTCTGTGCTGCGCACACAGGAAATTACTTTTGGCTCTTCTCGGTGATTTCGAACATATCCTGTTGTCTTCCTACAGCTTCTCTTCCCTTGCCATCTCCTGTCTATACTGCCAGTCCATATCTGGGCGCCTGTTCTGTTCTCACAAAATCTCTCCACTCCTACACCTGCTCAGCAGGGTCACATCGGTGTGAAAGTCTCCTGGCTCACTCTCTTGTAAGGTCGTATCCGCCCGCCTAACCTCCTCCGTTTTGCTCTGCTTCAGCTTCCTCGACGATCACTAAATATCTCTCCACCGCCTATCCGTATCCTCTGTTATTGTCATTCTCATCTTCTATTATCCTCGTTCATCCTCAAATACTGCCCCAACCTCGTGCAAGTTCCTTCGATCGCCTATCTTGCTGGAAGTCGCAGTATCCACGTCACTGTAGGGTCCATACTTCAAATTTCGAGGCCCCGTCGGCTGTGGAACATATCATTTTTGCAATCTCCGCATCCTGTACGTCCATCGTCAACTTCGCCACTTGTCAACGTAGATTCACCGCGTTGTGAAATCAGAACGACCTTTGGAAGTGTTTTTACATGTAAATCTACCTCATACTTGCACTTGGATTGCCCCTGCTACCTCTCAGCTCTCATAGCTGGGTTCTTACTGAGACCGTACAGCGTCCTTGATCTTCATTGCCACATTATATCTCCCCCATACAATCTACAAAATATTTCAGCAGGCAAAAGATGGCGCAATGCAGCGGTATGGACAACCAAGACCCTGCTCCAGATCATGAGTCATATGACGGCAATGATGGCCTCCAGGGAATGGATAATGGATCGTCTAGTCTGCAAAACGACGATGACACCATCGACAGATTCCTAAGTCCTCTTGTGGTGCCTGACACCACTCTCTATCAACTGGCCTGCCGGTTCCAACATGTGTACCGCCACCTTGCTCGAACATCAGAAGAGCAGTTCTTACCCACTCCGGTAACAAGACTACCGACAGGCCAAGAAACCGGCAGATACTTGGCGATTGACGTTGGAGGGACCAATCTCAGAGTGGCCTTTATCGAACTCCTTGGAGCAGCGCCGGAGAGTGACAGTAGCACCAACTCCCCGAAATCACGTGATACCATGAGAAAGGCACAGAGAAAACGGGTAAATCGAACATTAGAAAGGACTTGGCCAATAGGGGAGCATCTGAAGAAGGACCAGGCAGAGGATTTGTTTTTGTGGATCGGCGACTGCATGGCAGAGGTGGTGGCAGACAGCTTGGCGCTTAATGCTGCAGCTGGTACCTCTTTTCCAACAGAGCTTGAAATGGGCATCACCTTCAGCTTTCCGATGATGTGAGTCTTTTGTCAGGTTTCTATATACCTCTCTCGCATTTCACGTCTATCTGCTGTTGAGTTTGCCGCCGTAACTAGTAAAGGAGATACATCCTCTCCTCCCCCCAGTATTTAGATATGCATCTGTGCTAACTGCGAGCAGGCAAGAATCACTCTCGGAGGCGAGATTGATGCCAATGGGAAAAGGCTTTGCAATAACCTCCAATCTTGATCTAGGCGGTATATTACTTGCCGGATATGACAGGCATACAAGGCGACCCTTTGAGAAAGACGAACCGTCCGCCAAAAGACGGAAACTTTTTGACCTGCCAAAACTTAAGATTGCGGCCATCACCAATGACACAGTAGCAACCCTTGCATCGTTAGCGTACCTCGTCAAGTCCTTACCAAATAGCCGTGTTGCTATGGGCATCATTGTGGGGACGGGCTGCAACGCCACGATCCCTATGAGATTGAAAGACCTCCACGAATCAAAGGCAAAGCACATTTCTTCGAAACATCCATGGGCCGTGGAAACTGTCGTCAACACTGAATGGACCCTCAATGGTGCTGCACCGCCTCTCCGTGAGCTGAACATCACTACAAAGTGGGATACACAGCTGGATGAGGCCTGCACCCGACCCGGTTTCCAACCATTCGAGTATATGACCGGAGGCCGCTATATCGGTGAGCTGGTACGGATTATCTTCTACGATTACCTGACCAACGTAGTTGGGCTTTCCAAAAAGGAGCTACCAGCAAACCTGATCCAGGAATATGCCCTCACAACTGCATACCTGTCATCTTCCGTTGCGCAAATATCATCAGATACTGCCCTGGTGCGACATCTTAACCAGACTTTGCCACCACCTGAATCCAGTGATTGGACCTGGGATACAAATTTCGCACGAGCTTTCCGGAAAGTTGCCCAAGCCGTCCAGACACGGTCTGCAGGGCTAATCGCCGCTGCAGTCGTTGGCCTGCTCGCATGCAAAGGAGAGATAAAGCTCCGTGATACGATCGATCCAAGCCCGCGCCGATTATATAACATCACAGCCCCCACCTTAAACAACGGCTCCTCTTCAAAGCCAGTCGTGAGCGCTGTAAGCTCTAAGTTAGCTTCCAAAGACGGTGCCAAGGTTACGGCCAGTGAAAAGCCCAGCTCTGACGGGCACAGTGTACCCATCATTGAATCTGTACCTTCTAACTGGAAGTCTGGCCCGGAGGAACTGGTGGTAGCTTACACCGGTGGTATTATCCAGCGATATCCACGCTTCAAGGATACCTGTCAGCAGTTCATTGACCGGCTAGTGATTTGGGATGGGCCTCAGGAGAGTGGCAAGTCGGTGTTTCTGCGGGAAGCATCGGATGGTGGTATTATTGGAGCGGGTGTGCTAGCAGGCATGTTGGCTGGCGAGAGGTACTAGGTAAAAGTGGAGGCATGAAATTTAGTGGAAGAGGAACCCCATCCGGGTCTTCTGAGGACTCCGGCAAATATGTCGATACTCTAGGCCACGACGCAAGGGTGGAAAATCGTCGGCGGAATTGGGCAGCTAGGAGCTCTGGATAGGATACCCTATTGTTCGGTTTCATTTTTACAATCGAACCACTCTCTTGACCCGAGCCCTTTTATTCGCCCTCCCTTTTTTTTTATTTTTTATTATTTTTTTTTTTTATGTTAGTCGGCACGAGAAGGGCTCCACCCAAAATAGCATTTCTCTTCTCAAGCTACTTTACGTTTTGCTAACGGCACAAGAGTTTATGGAACCGTTATTTTTATCTGCTCTTTCTGGCCTCGCCAATTTTGTGTTTAGTTATTGTGAGTGTGTGTACCTTACTGGGACCATTCTAGCTTCTCTCTTTCCCACCATTTTTCTTGCTCGGTATTCTGATGTTGCTGGCAGGATATCCCATTTGCGTTAGTAGTATCCATACAAGAATACATAGATCAGTCCAGGCGAGTCAGCAGTCTTCACTGAGAGGATTTTTCCATTTTTGATAGCCCATGAAGAAGCTGGAAACCCCCAAATTGCGTGATGTCAGCAGATTATCGCAGAGGAATGGCTCCAAACCACATGGAAAGTGTGGCAGAGCGAGGTATGTACACGGGAAGCAATCTAGCAACAATCTCCTTGTTTCATTTTCTAAGAAGCATTGGATGTGTGATTCAAAACTCAAGTCTTCGGAAGTATTGCAAGCGTAGGCAATTTTGTAGATATCTACCTGTGTGCGGAGATGTGCACATAATCAATTTCAAATCAAAAATGGAAGAGCATATTGGACATTGCTGCACCAGACTTCGTTGTTGTCATTTCTTCAACCTTCCCCAAAACTCCGTCCCTGTTTCTCCGTCAAGACGTGGCTATCTCCAGAGCTCTTCCTGGTTCAAGTCCCACGGAATTCCGTCCTATCGACCCGCAGAGGATCCAAGGCTTCTTCTGGCCTCACGTACGACGCCGACAGAGGGCATAGATACGGGGGCACGTAAGTTGGTTCTTTTCTCACATCCCACTCGTCAGGTAGTGGGACTTGAGCTGAACTGCGTCACCGTAGGAGTCTCTGGGCACGACAAGGTTGGGCATGGGGCCACCGAGGTCGGTGCTGATGCATGGATTGACGATGAATGTCCAACGTGAGCAGAAATCCCGGACAAAATGGTAGTATGGGTATAGCAGGGTTTGGCCGCATTTGGAGGAGAAGTTATTTGAATGTCTGCACGGACGGGCATTGCGGAGCTATATCGACTCTTTTCGTGAGTTTGATGATGTGACTAAAGACGGAGTAAGACAGGGTGCAAGATGCAACAGTCCGTCGAAGAAATGTAACGGCATATGAAATTTCAAACACAAGACAAGGGGCTGCCCCCCCACACCTGAAAAGCGCAAAAGCACTCGCCAGGGATAATGGAAATGCAAAAGAGGACTTCATGGTTTATGGGTGATGGAAATTTCAACGTTGAGATGTGTTATTCGCCTTGGAAACAGAAATTGGGGTGTACGCTTGACAAAGTCGTATAAACCGAAGTGGAGCCCCAATAAGGGGAGACTTCCATTCTTTTTATATGCACACTTTTTGACGTTAGGCACTCTGCAGATCCATGAACAAGAACCCCGTACCCTTGTCAGCGGACTTGGCAGCTGGGCCTTGCCATAAATTTCCGACCCCTGCTTTCTCTCAATAATAGTTGCTGTTGAGAAAGGTTTTCGAGCCACTTGCGACGAGAAGGTAGTGAGATCCCATTTGTTGGGACGATGCCTTATTGGTTTCCACATAGTTTAAAAACCAGGAAAGTTAGTTTTGTTGGCCAACAAATAGGCACGAAACAAATATTTTTGGCGTCGATCAAAGTAAAACTGACGGCTTTTTCGCAGGTCGGGATTTGTTTGGGATATCAAATGGTTCCGCTGCCAATGTCAAGTCGAGCCTCTTTAGGCAGATTTGGATATATAACACTCTTTGACTAGCCTGTTACAGCGCACTGTCTAGGTCTAAAGTTTTCATGAGATTGGAAGATAGACGATTGGGGATTGAAGAATTGCACACTGTTTCATGTCTCTCCCTAATTCCCCCCCCCCTCTCCTTGCTTTAAAAAATTAAAAAAAGGCCGGCTAGACTCCTTGCCAGTGTCGTTGAACATGTCATGTTTTGTTAGTTGCGATTTATGACGTAAAACCCGAAAGACTGCCCCTACGCTACCAGAACGTATTGCGGATAGCGCGGGGTTGAGTTCGAGGCGGTTTGGTTCTGTGGTCCATGTTCCCAAGGTATGAAAAAACCATATCCGCGATCGAGCTCTCCACCAGTTGTCGTGTTAAAATAGAAATGATGTGACGAAACATGCCGTATCCATAATTAACCTGATTCGTGTCTATCGGGGTTCGGTTGCATGGAATGTAAGGTCTCCCAATCTTGTTAAACCAGCTAGAAGGAATTTTCATCATGATTCTTTTTGTTTTCTTGAGTACCCCTCTAGAGGTTACGGAAACGTTCCTAGGGTTGATCTGGTAATTAGGCCCTATTGTTCTAAACCTGGAAGAGTTTTCGTCCATGCTTCAAAAAATCTCAGTGATATTGCGAATGTCATAATAGTTCCATAGTTAAAGATAATGCAGAGACAGCCATAGCGAGAGGCTAGATCTCCGCAAGCGCAAAATTTTTTGAACGATGACTTGAAATCAGGCTTCCTGGGAGCGGGCACTGAGGTTAAACTTTGGTGACTTATTCATGTTGAAAACATCAAGGAGGACAGGCGTTCTTTTTGGCGGAATGAATGTCCCTCATCGAGCTTTTGCGCCGTTTTCCGAGTCCCCACGCCACGTACCAATGCCGTACAATACCCCAAAGAACATACTCTTTGTAGCGTACTGATTTTGGAACTGCTAGATATGTCTTAAGGTAACCAGGGTTGTCTGAACCAAAGCTTAACACCCAGAGTCGGAGGCCAAGAAGAGTTCATAATGTCATGACTGACCAGCATTGAGCTCGACAGGGCGGATATGCTTTGAGGGACAAATCATCCGTATCTGCCGTATTCACCAAAAGCTTTCCAGTAACAGTTCTGTTTCCATGGCGCGTAGAGTAAGAAAAGCAGACTGTACATTTTTTTCTCAACTTTGTCCTGGTTAGGCTTTCAACTTCAGAGAACCTAGAACTAACCTAGTTCTGAACTTTCCACGCATGGAGTTGAGATAAATCGTAGCCAAAAACTAGTTGTGGAACCTTATAGGACCCTCTTTTGAAGGAAGGAAAACAGATGAAAACAAAAAGCCGTACCTAAAGATGTTGAAAATATTATTCAAAGTTGTCAAATCAATTTACATGTAACCCGGTCGTGTTTTCCCAATTTCTTTTGGTGAATACTTCCATTTGCCCTGGAAACTATACCGCTTTTATCTTTGTATGTATGACCACTGTAATTTGCATATAAGATATGAACAAGTTCGGGAATAATACACTGTCTGTAGATTCTTTGGGTCAAGAACGAGCCACTCATCATGCGATTCGCATGCAGTATTTGGGTTGCAGGTGGATTTCTCGATGGGCAGATGAAGATGGCTTCGCCTTCACCACTCATTGAGGGCAACAATCGGTCAACATCTGTCACGATACGTTCCCTAGGCTCACGAGGTCTGGTAAGCGGCTGAACCGTGCAGGATTGAGTTTCCATAGATTTCCAGCAAGAACAAAAGTTGGGGAGTGTGATCAATGTTGCGGTGAGGGTTTGTGTCCTAGAGTTGCATGTACGATGCTGGACACAGAGGCCTAGAACCGCTTGGTGATAGAACAGATTTACTTCTCAAGAGTAGATCTGAATGCCCGTGTAAATAGGATCGGAGAGAACAACAGTTGGGCATAGCGACGGCATTTAGAAGGAAGGGTCAATCTAGAGTTTCAATCGCATAAATATCGGTGTTCAGCAGACATAGGGAAGATTCTTGAGGCATTCCCAATATTCATTCCACATTTATTACAGGACCTAGAGTTCGTGGAATCAAATTAAAGTCTTGACTGATAGTTTCATCTCCAAGTTTTCCATCTTCCAGCTCCAAAGAGGACACACCAACCTCACTTATCTTCTCTTCCAACTTTTCACGTAGCTCTTGGTCTCTTTGAGCTACAATTTTTGTCATATTGATTCCTGAGTGTTGTTGTTCTCAGGTTGCTTGGGGTTTTGTGAATTGCGGACTGCTGTGATAGTTTGTATACTCTGGGAAGGTTGTTGAAGTTAGGTACAGAGTATGCCTGGTCAAGTTCCTCGTTTTGTCACTGAACACGAGAGGGTATGGTAAGCATGGCTAGCAGTTGTGGAGAGAGAAAGTTGTCAAGTATAAGGCCTTTAATGATTTAAATTGTGAAGACTTCAACCGCAAAACATATTTAGTATCAAGATCTTCCGAGCTCTGTAGATCCTTGAAGTGATTAAGTTTAGCTTCATATGATTATTTATTTATTTATTTTAAAACACTAGTTGCAGTCACGTGAAAAATCTTTGACCAGACAAATCCACTTCACCTAAAGGTCGCCATCAAAACCATCTGACCTATAACTCCCTCGCTCACCAAGCCGCAACAATGAGCACTCAAGCATACTATGAGCTCTACCGGGGTAGCAGGTATTGCATTTTACGGGTTAATAAGCAGTTAGAATATGGGCTAATAAACCTCACTTTCCTAGTATTGGCTTGTCCCTAACCGATACGCTTGATGACTTGATCAACGAGGGCCGTATCGAACCGCAGCTAGCGATGAAAATATTGTCAAATTTCGATCGGGTCATAACAGAAGTCCTTGCCGAGAAAGTGAAAGCCAGACTCTCTTTCAAGGTAAAGCTGTCTTCCCGCCATTTGGTAGTTTTGGAGCTCGTCTTTGTTCTGGGAATTTTAGCTAATTTGGGATGCTTGCGTCAAGGGTCATCTGGATACCTATCGATTCTGCGACGAAGTCTGGACATTTCTCATCAAAGATGCTACCTTCAAACTCGATAACCAGACCACGGTCCATGCGGACAAAGTGAAAATCGTCAGTTGCAATAGCAAGCGTCCAGGGGAGGTGTAATTCATCCAACATTAACCTCGTCCTGTTGAATTCACAACATCATAAAGAGAGGCGCAAATTGGGGTAACGGATTTTCCATATGGAAACCTTAGTGAAAGGGTACATATTCTTGTCTTAATGCTTTCTTGAACGTGGTTTATGGGAACGGCGTTTTTGTCCTTCCATTCTGAGATTTAGACCACTATGCCACACTGAATGGCTTATGACCAATGATACCACGAGGTTTCGGCTCTGATAGCTTTTTCTCGCCTTTCCACTGCACGCATCCATCCCTGGCTTATACAAATCGTGGTTTGAAGCTATGATCTGGTTGTTGAGATGGTTCTGAGGGCTCCACAGCATGTCTGCTATCAAGGCTGTCTTCCTTTTACTTTCTATAATTTTGAGCATGGAGGAAGCAAATGGCCGATACATATGTATGTACCTAGGTACTTATTCCTCGCCATACCATAGAGTAATGAACTGCTGCAGCGCAGTGAAATATTTTCTTCCAAGGTTTGTTGTTATCTATGAGAAGCACGTGATATTTCAAGGTGCCATATTTAGGCCTCTTATGGATTAAAACCGCTTCCCACGATCCAGGGTAGTCCAACGCCGCCCTTCATCAACCACCATCCTCCATGGTCTTATATGGGGAAGCCAGTTTTTCAGTTCATTTAACTCATCTGTATTTGGATGCGGCGCTTTCTAATGGATATCCAGGTCAGCTATGGATGACCGTTTGTTTGGACCAGTCCTTGATATCTGCAGATAATTAACTAGTTAGTTAACTATACCTCTTGACTCCCTAGCGGAACACACCGCAAAGTGCTTGAATCCTCACAGCTCTACCTAAGCTTCGTTTGCAATTGTCTCTTATTATGGTCTAAAATTGCGCAGCTCTTAAAACTTATTCGAGCTGCGTATTGCGCAATATGCCCCGAACACTGCCATGGCAGGTCAATATCAAGGGGCACAAAAGCACTACGTCGACTAGAAATGCCTCCCGAAAGCCGTCATCGTCACAGGCTTCAACTGAAACGGAGTTGGCTAATGCACCAACGTCTACAAGGACTCCACGCCATACTGGTATGCAAAGTACTATGCTGGTATCTTTAAATTTCGCATGCTAACTTAACAGTTCAAACACCTTCTCCTTCTCCACCATGCGAACCACCTCCCGTGGAGTTCGTGGTTCCTCTTCTTGGTGCTAGGCAAGTTAAGTTAGCTAACAGGATATTATAGGCTAATGAAAGAGGGCTTGGAGAGCGACAATCAATACATCATGGTTGAGGACGAATTTCTAGCCACCGCGCAGACTTTCACTCGCCATCTTCACCATGCCGAGTATGTACGCAGAAAAAAAGGGGCGAAACTCAAAAACGCCAACGCTCTCAAAGACCTGGCTCGATCCGCGGGCTTGAAAGGAACGTTGGGTGCTGATATTCGAAAAAATATGGAGTCTGAAGAGAACGCCGCCCAACACAATGCAGCGCTGGAGGAATTTAAAAGAGTTGCCGGTTGCCCTCCAGTCGACTCTGAAGTTGAAGATGGCGTCGGAAGCGAAGAAGATAGCGATGATGATCCATGGGTGGGAACATCTTTACAGAACTTGATGAATCAAAAGAAACACCAGTCCTTGGTTGGTTTACAGGGGATCAGATCTGCCTCTCGAGCCGCAGTGGGGTTTTCGAAGACACCTGCTCGATCAACGTGGGAACGACCTAAGAGCGACGGAGATGTGAACGAACCTGTTTCCAATAGTGGAACTGAAGTTAATCCACATCTAATTGATAATGATGAAACGTCTACGTGTGACGACGATGATCTTGACGCCCAGTCCAGACGACCAAAATCAGTTCAGATGGCATCCCAGCAGTCTAAGTGTACTGGAGAGAGTACGAACCCCGTACCTATTTCATTATCTACCACTAAGGGAGCACAAACAGCATCACGATCAAATGTGCAGGAAAAGATTACCGCATCACATCACTTAGTCCGGCCGAACCCGGAGCATCCCCGACATAACCCGACTCCTCCGTCCACACGTAAAAGTAAAGTAATGACTTTGCTCGACGAATTCGATGACGATAAAGTACACGTAATAAGGAAATATGATATGAAAAACAAGGACCCAATTCGGAAACGTGTCCCATCAGAAACTGCATCCAATAAACGCCACAAGAAGGATAGAAACTCCAAAGAATCCCACCTCAGTGAAGTGCCAACATTCTTGCTGTGAGGGGTATAAAAGCAAATATCGTCATCCTCTTATTAACATCGAAATTTTTATCAAGGTCGTATTTTCCAGGGTCCGTTCGTAACCATTTCCATTTTCATTTTCGGACGTCATAAGGGGAGAAAAGCAACATCTTCTTTCCCCTAGTTATTTCATTAACTCTGGCTTACGTCATCTCAGCAAAGATAACCGTCTCCCTGGGCTCTTAGATCGACTGAGCGAAACGTTTAGATACGCTGTCGTCTCATCCGTAAAATGCTCTCGTCGATATGGTGTGTCAATTTGCCCTTCAACTTCTTGGATTCATGCTGAAACTTTTCGCGCCTTGAAACTCGATAAAGGGTGCTGGAATCACTGGGAGTGTTGTCCGACAGGGTATCTCTGCTCCAGCTATGGTTAGCATTGAACGGAGCAGGACAGACAAGTCACAGAGCCACATACTCCTTGTCATAAAGAGGCATTGCGAATTCTACCCGGCGGAAATCGGTTGGAGGCCCCTGGGATTAAAAAGAGGATATAAGCACTAGAGCAAATCCATCATCATATCACGTTGGGTGTGCTCACAATTATCAAACGATTCGAACTCTTTTGCCGTCGCGGATGGAAAGATTTGATCCAAGGCACCAAACTCCCAAAGCAGTCCATTTTTCTCCTTCTTTTGTATCCCGTTCGGTGAGATGGCGAATGGCCTAGTCAAAATGGGTTGAGAGCTCCGCAAATCAACAACGGTGCTTTTCAGGTATCGTTGACAAGGAGGCAGTTGATCCTTTTATGAGAAATCTAAAGAGAGGCAGTGGGAAAAGGAGGTATTTCGAAGTGGTCGTTCGCTAGGTTGCTCAAAAAGGTCTCAGTAAGATAAATGAACGAACGACCTGACAAGGCACGGTCAAAGGAATGAGCAGGAGAGGATATAACAAAACTATATGAATTCGGAGTTGTACAAATAAATCAATATTAACATAGAAGAAATAAAACAACAACAAATCCAGCCTCAGGACTCTTAATCAAGCCCAGGGGGGAAAAAAAAGCAAGGCGAGAGACAAAAACGGTTGTGATTTAGTCTGGAATGAGACAAAAGAAGTAAATCCCATTCATATACTTATCTGCTGTTCATCCACGAACCGTAAAGTCAGAGAGTAAATAAAAATATCTTCCAGAAATGAACACAGATTAGAAAATTCGCAAGAAGCCTGCAGAAGAACTTTTGAAAGGAGGGGTTGAATCCGCACAAAATAAAACTCGCGCGATGAAACACACCGGGAGAGATATGAGGCAGGGACTTGGAGGAGTTACCGTACTCCGCTATCATTTAATAAAATGCTATTTACGATTTTCCCGAACCGCATCCACCCCCCCTCTCCCCCCCTCTGTATTTAACCAGCCCGTCCAATATGCTGAGGGAGAAGCTGCCAAATGAGAGTCGTAATCAAAAGTGTTACAGTTGGTCCGTAACTATGCAGCAAAGGGGTCTGGTCCCCATGTTTATCCAAGAAAAAAGAACCCGAGAATGGAGACCGTTTAAAAGAGCAGTCAGTGAACACAGACAGTTCTCTTTTACAGTATTCTCACCATTCGCCCCGCCACTGATCCGCTCAAGCTTGTTGCGGCGTATGATATGATAGAGGAACTACATCTGAATGGGCTCCCGTTGACCGAATAACATAGTCCCTGCACACCACCAACTAATTTATTTATTTAATATTTTATTGTGTAAGATATATTTCGAGTATCGAAATGGAAGCATTGTCAGGAACAGGTAGCATCTGTGAACCAGTGCGTGCCGCCGGTCGTGGCGATGCAAATCTGATACGAGGGATCCAGTGTTGCGCTTGAGTATTCATTTATGCAAACTCTCTGCGGGCGGGTAACGTAGGGGCTGTGCTTGTGAGTTCAGATGGATATTGGAGCGCTTACGTGCTTTTGGATCTCCGATGGCCACCTGCACCCTCCGGGCCACTTTGGCAATATAATATGGTTCCCTTCTTTACAGTGAGTGCGGAGTGCATCATATGTATTTATGTATGTTTGGAAAGTTCCTGCTTGTGTCGTAGATGTTCCACGCCTGTGTGGACGATATCCACGCAGCCAACATGTGTGCCACGAGAAAGGAGGGGGGGGTGTGGTGGTGGTGGGGGGGGGGGGAAATAAAAAAGAAACGACAGTAATTAGTTCTGCGTTAAATAGATCGCCCAGGAGTGGAACCCAAATCAACTAATTGGCTCTCTACCCGGTTCCTTGTGTCTACAAATACTCCGTTAGTGCCACTTGGGGTGGCTTGCAGTCAGCAAATAGGCGTCTGGGTAGAAGGTTAGTGAGGCATTTTGTTGCCGCGAAGTTGGGTTCATCTCAACAAATGGCTCCAATCTTTGTATATATCTTCAACCCTCCCCATCTCCACCCACCGAACGGACGAATCTTTCCTGGAACCAGGCCTACCCGCAAACAACCTCCGGAACCTAAGACCATGGATCTTTCTTACCGTTCAGGGGAACGCGCCACGCAAACGCCTGCCAACACACAGGCGTGTGGAGATGTTTCAACCTGACTACGCTTCCAATTATATCGTGTGTGCCATTTTCCGCCCCCCGCCCCTTCATCTGCCCCGTTCCCGGGTTGCACTGTTTAACTACTATCCGCTCATCTCATCGTTCAACAAATTGGATGGACTGATGGCCTGAACGTTCTTGGCTAGGCGGGACTGCTACCGTGGAAACTTCCCGGCAGCGATCACTATTGTTGGACACCCAAACCCGCTAATTCCAATCATCAAAATGTGTTCGAGGATGCAGGTGCTCGGGTGGTTCCGTGAGGATACGGTGGTTGGTGGTGGTGGTGATGGTGGTGGTTCCTGAGTTGGCGCACGAAATGTGTGACCTAGGAACTGCCCCAGCCCATAAAATTGGCCATATATGAAGCCATGCCATTGGAATATCTACACTGGAGTGTTTGGTATGGGCCAATTCTCTTAATCACGCTGCAATTCGAGTGTCTCGTGGAATTTTAGTGCCAGAGGGGTGGACTGTCATGATCTAGAAGTTTGGGAGACGTCGCCATGTTCAGTTGGTAATATATCTTATTCATCCGGATTCTTCCAACGGCTTTTGGTCGAAACCGCGTTGAAGTCCATGACCTTGCGTCCTGCCAATTGGTCGGCGTCCTGCCAAATAGGTTCCAGTGGGATAATCCACTGGATCATCGACCTAACCAACCCGTCAAGGCAACAAGGCTCAGGAACTGAGAAAAAAGGCTCTTGGCCCATTGCTAGATCTATGAACCATGTAATAAAACTGGGTTTAACCGTCACGGCTATACCTGAAGACCGGGATCTGGCTTACTTCTATGTATCCATGGGATATAGAAGGGTGCTTACGCGGTTATCTGTCGGGCTCATGATAAGTATGGGAGACCGTTCGACTTTCATTTTAATTCTGCTTTTCACCACCATATAGCAGCCTGGCAATCTTGTCATAGGAGGCTTCCCCCACCTAGCTGTTCGAATGGCTATGGATGGAAAGCTGGCCATTAAGGCTGTATCCCGGAAAAGCCTCTTGGACTAAATTGATCAATTCCTTCGGACTCCAGGGCCTCCAGATCTCTTAACAATCCTTGGATGTCAACATTTATGATACTAGCTGGTATGATACTAGATGCAAAGCACTTGTCGCCAGCAGTGCAGAATCGTTCTTTCAATGCAAAAATATGCCAACATCCCAAAAATAAATATATCATGATTGTCGCTGTCCCAACAACACAAGACAGCGGGGATAAAGCGATATGACATCAGAAAGATTCTCCTGCAATATTAAAATAAATTTAAGTTATTTGGGATAGTCCTTCAAATGGAAGCTTTTCAGTTTGACAAATTGGTCAAATCCAAACCTGCTCAACGTCACCCCGCGTCCTGAGTCTTTCCATCCCGTCCATGCAAGATCCTATAGTACAAGTCGGGTCAGGACGTGGTTTCTCATAGAGTCGACGGGACGTGAAATATATATATGTATATATATATAAACTATAGATAGACAGAAAGGGAATGAGTGTTCCGTTGGAAGTATAGAACTTACCGGACTCGGGTAATCAGCTCTGTTGACGAATACAGTGCCAGCTTCAATCTGTTGGATCAGCTGTTCAGCCGTAGCAACGTCCTTCGTCCAAACACTAGCTGTTAGGCCCAGGTTGCTCTGATTCATCAATCGAACGGCCTCCGCGTCATCTTTAACTTTCTGGACCGGTATAATTGGCCCGAATGTCTCGTCGGTCATGACTTGCATATCATGAGTTACTTCAGTCAGAAGAGTGGGTTTGACAAAATTCCCGGCTGCGGGAAGGTTATCTAAAGTCGGGGTTGAAGGGGTCTCGTCCACGGCGCCCTTCTTAACGGCATCTTCAATCTGCGCTAAAATATTCGCTTTTGCCCTTTTCGAAATAACTGGGCCGATCTGCGTCTTCTCGTCAAATGGGTCACCCACTCGGTATTTACTTAGCACTTTCTTCACCTCTTCGATAAATGCATCATAAATGGCTTCCTGGATATATACTCTTTCGATCGCACAGCAACTCTGGCCACTGTTGAAAATGGCTCCGTCAACAATCTCCTCCGCAGCCCACGCGATGTCAACATCGCTGCGGATGTATGCCGGATCATTCCCACCAAGTTCCAGACCAACGTTTACAATTCTATCAGCAGCCGCTTTTTGAATGGCTAGACCCGCTGCGACGGATCCTGTGAAGCAGATGTGGTTGATAAGGGGGGAACGGACAATTGTTTCGATGTCGATAGGGGAGCCGCAGTGGAAGTATTGCAGAACATCTTGTGGTAACCCTGCTTCGTTAAAAATGGAGGCAATATGTTCCACGACTGTTGGGGTCTGTGGAGAGGGTTTCAGAATAACAGCGTTTCCGGCCAGTAGCGCTGGAATTAAGCTATTTATCAACACCAAATAGGGATACTATCAACGGCATAATTAGTAAAACTCCGGACCTTATGGAATGGACCCACTGGTTAAAGGGGGAATAAGGCATTTTGGAATTCCTCCTAGGGAATTTAAAAATCATAATGATCCAAGAATCGGGGGTAGACTCAAGAACATACATTCCAAGGGAAAATAATCAGCACCACCCCTACAGGCTCCTTTTTGATATACCTTCTAAATCCAGGCTCTGCCTCCGAGTCTATGATCCCTTCATCTCCCAATACGGTGCTAGAAATACGATTTAGGTATTCACCGCGCTTTATAGCTGTTGTGATCTCGCTACCAGTGTAGGCAATCGGGCGGCCCATTTGCTCTGTAAGTTCACGGCCTAGAGCATCCTTCTTCTTTGCGAGAAGCCCAAGAGCGAGAGCAACAATCTGCTGGCGCTGACCCAGAGTTGTCAATCTAGAAAAGGAGCGGAAAGCGTCTTGTGCTTTTTGTGGCATTGATGCAAGCTCCTGCTGGGATACCCCCGGGCGCGTTATTATAGGATCGTTGGTGATGGGGGAAATCGTTGTCAACGTCTCTGAAGACATTTTGCTGTGTCTGCCGAGCCAGATATCTCCTTTTAAAGTATCCTCAAAAATCAGAAATAGGACTTTTGGGGTTGTTCAGAGGTTGTGTCACTAGCAAACACTCTAGCCAATGGAGATAGTAAACTAAGCTGGAGCTTAGTGTATGATATAATTACCCAGGTGATTAAAACGAGGCCACCTGTGATTTGTGAATAAGATCGTCTCAATGATTTTGGGGGGTTTTCTTTCTTGTTCTCTCCTATTGTTGAACAAACTTCAGAACATCGTCGGATTTGACTGACTTCTTGATATCATCATGCATGATGGCACGGCGCGGAAAAACAATCATGCGGATTATACCCAATCCGAAATGCCGAAACAAATCGTCAAGCCTCGTGAAGAAGAAGAAGGGTGATGGATCATTGAAATTATTCCGACGCTTTGTGCTCTTAAGGTATGGTTTTCCTAAGCTAATTCAGCATTGTGGAAACCAGACATGGACTCGGCTCTTTGCAGCGTTAAATATTAACTATCTCGCATCAATAATCCGACGTTTGTAGCTATAGCGACAATTCCAAACCAGATCCTTCGCGGATCAATTTACACAAGCGACGCGCTCAATGTCTAATATCTCATCTGTCTCATCTTTCTTATCTGTCCTCTGGGCTTATTGAGAAACAGTGTCATTCTGTTCCGTCCTTTCGCCAATTCCCTAACTGACGAGATGATGATTTTTCACAATGGCGTTTTAAGGTTTTATTTTTATTTTTATTTACTTTATATATATATATATATATATTAGATGCCTCCAGTAACCAAACTTCCGCTTCAGTGCCTCTTGAGAGTCGTTCGATATCTTTGAGTATAGCTGCTGTAAGTTTCTCCAGCAGGGCTTCCCTTCCCTTTGATATCTCCGCCGTATGATGTAGGTGACACCCAGCTTAGCCATTATCTCTTGGACTCACTTCAGGCCCATATGCGCCGAGTATAACTAATGTGTCCATCTTCTGCTTTTATGGTCGTGCATTTGCTTCCTTGAGCTCCCATTTTACCTCCTGGGATAGCTTGATTGAGTCAACAAGAACGCCAAGGGCTTCTTGGGGGAGAAGATCCCGGCGAAACTTCGACGATCTATGGATGGCAGAATCAATTTCCTCCCAACTCATTCCGCAGGACCACCATTTTAGCGATGACGAGTCGGTTCCGTTTGCTCTCTCGTAGAGCGTGGTCGAGGTCCTCCGCCTTGTTGAAGGACTATTGTTTTCGGCACTGTTTTCTTCTCACCATTTTCGTCGTTTTCTGCATATGGGTTTTTATTTTCTCTTCCAAGTTTGCGATTGTAATTGCAAGTTTGGATCTCCGTTTTGCAGCTGGTGTATTGTCGCCTTTGAGGTCTTTCATCTGCAGAATCCGTGCTATCAAGCGGTGTCTTTTGTCTTTCGCCATGCTGCTCATTTGACAAAAATTACTAAAGTTAGGTGGTCTGCATAGAAACTCGAGAAGCAAGGAATGCTAGTTGGGGATTCTGGGAAACGTTCCACCGCTGTTCTGCTCGTTCGTAACTCGGAGGATGGGACCAATATTATCAACATCTACTGACGCGGATGCACACGCAAACATACAACCCTAATAATCTTTCCAATGACCCAACGACATTCCACTATGTTTTTGCGATTAAACGTCCTGGAGCTGAACACGCTTACAATAGACATGTATATAGCAGTATTGTTGAGGTATACTCCAATCATTTTTGTCCCACTTGTATTCATAAATTTTGCATATCTTCCACCGAGATCACTTCTGCTGATCATCCCTTGAAAGTAAAGTCGTCAAGTTAACCAATGTTGGAATATACAAGGAGGTTGTTCGTAAAAATCATCGGCACGTTGCAAATATATCTGATATCTCTTCCTTACGGCTTTCCACGAGCTCCTGCATGTCGTCTTTCGAGTTCATTAGATACTAAAACTTGCAACCCTCAGCATTTATCGCACTTCGCATTTATCAATAAGTAGTAACAACATGGGTGGAATGGTTAATGAACTAATAAAGCTTTTGGTTCCCTTCAAAAATGATACATCTGAGTTTATTAAATCTGAGATACTTGGAAAGAAACTGAATATATATATATATATATATATATATATAACCGTCTTAAACCCTCACAGCGTGAATGGGCGTGTTGGAAGCAAGCAAGTGACCTGGTGAGGAATCTCATATTAACTTGAGGACCTCCGCCAGTAAGAGGGACAGAAATTGGTGTCGACAGCAAGCGTTTGGTTTCCGCTCGCACATTGAACTTTAAAAGTGAGTATCCAGCTTTGGAATTGTCCTCTGGACAAGGCTTGTTTCTCTGAGCAGAATTTATGAATAGGTGATATGCCTTCAAGGGGGTTATAGATGCAGCCATCGCTTGCGGGAGGGCAAGAACCAGAAAAAGGGAAACTGGGGAAGATAATGCATCCAGGTTCCCCAGAGATGCCATGTTTTACCCAAGAGCTGTCTATTGGAAAGACAACATCCTGGGCTGCCTAACTATTATTCCATGCGATGCCAGCCATTTGAAGCTTTGATTGGGCATTCACAGAACCAGAGCAGAGCGAAAAGGTTCCCAGAAGGTCCGTGGAAATTGGCACAGATGAAGGCGCAGCCCAAGCCCGAGAATCAAATCAGTTGTCATTTCCCGGAGACACGAAGACAAAACTACTGCCCATGGGCCGGCCATGCCTTTTAACATTGGCAGTCATGACATTTCGGAGGATGTCGCGTAGAGGATGCCCGAAACTGGGCGGCAGCTAAAACCCGGAGAGCATATCTCTAAGGGAGTTGATGACTCACAAAAGAGCAGCGATCAAACAGCAAGGCATGAATCCACACAAATAACCATGACACGAAGACCGTGTAGCATTTCTTTCTTTCTTCCTTTTTCGCTGTTCTCCATAGCGTTTGACAGGTGACAAGGTCCGATTCGGGGCGGAGCAAACACAGCAAACAGTGCAAACATCCTCAGCCGCTCTCTCAACTCTAATCATCCCAGTGCCGCAGTAGACGTCATCCGTTCCTAGACGCCACACAACATCCCTTGGAACCTTGGACGGGACAGGACAGTTGTTGGGAGCCCGGGAGAGGGATATTTATTCCAAAAATGTTTTTATGCTTAATATAGCGGAAGCATACTTGGAACAAAATGTGGGGATCAACGTTCATGAGGATTTGCCAGCAAAGTGGGGACAGACACCCCCGCGCGGGACAAGACCAGTAGGATCCGGTCTCCTGTTTTGTTTTCGTGGAGCGCAAGTCGAAGGACCTTTTTTAAGGTTTCACATTTATGCGATACGTCATAAGGAGTGGGTGGGGTGGGGGGGGGAAAGCTTGTTCTCGTCAAATTCCAACTTGATTTCAATGGCCAATGTTCTATGCAAGGGCTAATCAGCATGCCTCCATGAAAACTCTATCAGCATTTATTGAGAGGCCGTGATATCCATGGTTGATTGGAGTTGTGTGCAAACCAGATGGAATATGTGATGATGGCTAAAGATATAGTTAAATCTTAGCATATGGGAAAATGTCCTTTTCGCTCCCTCGTGGGTGATATCGAGGGAGTGAGTGAGTGAGTGAGTGAGAGAGAGAGAGAGAGAGAGAGAGAGAGAGAGAGAGAGAGGAAGAGAGAGGAAGAGAGAACGTCGGCTATTCCAAGTTCCCATTCCAGTCCGCCCTCGTCTCTTCCTTCATCTTCCCTCCCATATCCGGCACTACAAATAGGATTAAATGTCGCGTAGGTCGTAGAGATGCCACCTCAGAATACGATTGGTGTATGTGTACCCGAGGTTCCAGGGGATCTAATAATAGGAGGGCGCTGGTGCACTTGTTCAGGTACCGCCCACTTCTATACTTTTTCTAGAACTCCACATGTCCTTGCCGACTGGTGAGGAGGACGTCAAGTAATGGATCTCGGGTTGAGCGTTGTGGAACCAGCTTGGGCGGTTCCAAAGTACGGACCGGGCTTAAACCTCTAACTATGCGAAGTTAAACTATATATAACTTCCGATTTCCCCCAAGAGCTTTGAGAGGCATCATATTTCCTGCTAAACTTACAGTATCCATCATCCTCTCCCTTCGTCACGGAAGAACTTGATTTATTATCTTCCCAATTCCTCGTTGTTTTACTTGAGTAGCTAGCTGTCTTTTCCCGTAACTATTATTCAGACGACTGGCAGCAAGCATGGCATTGAGCAGTGTATCCATTACAGATATCCATGTTAATGACTTTCAGGGTTCATTGGCCAACGACATCTACAACGGTCTGAACCCGCCAGACAGAGAACCAAAGTCGATGCCGACTCTTCTCCTTTATAGCACCGAAGGACTTCGCCGCTTTGAGGACATTACATATGTGGATGAATACTACTTAACCAATGCTGAAATTGAAGCCTTGACAATGCACGCAGCCAAGATCGTGAATCAGATCCCGGAAAATGCTCAATTGGTGGAGCTAGGTAGCGGGTTTGTCTCTTCCCACTCGACTGGCGAGGACATGAACGATCTTAATTAAAATCCCCTCTTTTCCGCTGTCATTTCTTTAACCCTTACTTGAGTTTTTAGGAATCTTCGCAAGATCGAGATACTATTGAATGAGTTTGAACGCAAGAAGAAACCTGTTAAATACTTTGCTCTTGATTTATCTCTTGAGGAGCTCCAACGCACCTTTGCGGCAATTCCGTCGAGGGGCTATAAATATGTCAAATGCCGTGGGCTTCACGGCACCTATGACGATGCCCTCATTTGGCTGACGAAGCCAGAAAATAGACAATGCCCTACATGCATTTTGTCCATGGGATCTTCCATTGGCAACTTTACCCGTCCTGAAGCAGCTCAGTTTCTAAAAAGATTTTCGGAATTGCTAGGGCCGTCTGACTCCATGTTAATCGGAATTGATTCTTGTAAGGACCCGGAGAAGGTATTCAAGGCTTATAACGACAGCCAGGGCGTGACAAAGGACTTTTACAAGATTGGACTCTCTTATGCAAATTCAGTTCTAGGGTTTCAAGCCTTCAGAAAAGAAGATTGGGAAGTGACTGGTCTTTACGATAAATCAGATGGATGTCATAGAGCCTACTATGTCCCCAAAAAGGATATCACCTTTAAAGGGGTGGTCTTGAAAAAAGGCGAAAAGATATTATTTGAGCGAGCTTTCAAATACGGACCAGAAGATTGCGAGGAGCTCTTCAACCAGGCTCTGCTAACGCCAGTAGCCCAGTTTGGGAATAGTACAGGCGAATACTGTAAGTTCCTTTTAATTTTTTACCATTGCCATCCCCTGACGGATTTGGGATCATATAGAGACTTCTCAGTGATCTATGGATATGGTTAATGCAACTGTAGTATATTCTCTGACCTGCTATTGACGATTCTGGTAGATCTCCACCTTCTTCTATCATGCTGCCTGGAAATGCCCACTCGAGCAGCGCATTATGCTGCCGATGCTACCCCTAAAGTTTCGGACTTCGAAAGTCTCTGGAAGGCCTGGGATATGGTGACCATTTCCATGATTCCCAAGAATGAACTTTTGTCAAAGCCAATTAGATTGCGGAATGCTCTAATTTTCTACCTGGGACATACACCTACCTTTCTTGGTAGGTTCATGGACTTAAACCCGACCTGTGAAAATATTCATGCTGAACTTCATATCAGACATCCATTTGACACGAGCCACAAATGGCATTCCAACGGAGCCTGCGTACTACCATTCCATATTTGAGCGTGGTATTGATCCTGATGTAGATAATCCTGAGATTTGTCATGCTCATTCTGAAATCCCGGACGAATGGCCAGCCATTGGTGAAATTCTGGCATACAGAGACGCAGTCCGGAACAGAACGCGCACTCTTTTAAGAGATGGGAAAATGGGACGACGTTTAGCTGAGGCGCTTTGGCTTAGCTTTGAGCACGAAGCCATGCACTTGGAGACATTTCTGTATATGCTGTTGCAGAGTGATAAGACTCTACCACCTCCGGGAGTTCCTACGCCAGATTTTGAGGCATTGGCTCAACAATCAACCTCCAACTCAACGCTAAATGCTTGGTTCACCATTCCGGAGCAACAGATTTCCATTGGGTTAGAAGATCCAGGCAGCGATGTTATCCCCAAACAGTCTTTCGGTTGGGATAATGAGAAACCGAAGAGAACAGCCGTTGTTCCCGCTTTTATGGCAAAAGCCAGGCCTATTACAAACGGGGAGTACGCAAGATATTTAGAACAGAATCACATCATGGCTATTCCCGCTTCCTGGATCGATTTAGCACCCAGGACGAACGGAAACAAGCAGAATGGGTATGTGAACAGAGCGAGCTCCTTGACAAGTGGGGATAGCCAAACAAATCGAACAAATGCCAGTGCTAGCAAGGATTTTCTAGAGAAATTCGCGATTCGTACTGTATTCGGGCCAGTTCCATTAAAATGGGTGCTAGATTGGCCCGTCATGGCTTCCTACAATGAACTTCAGGAGTATGCGAAGTTTGTGAATTGCAGAATCCCCACTTTTGAGGAAGTCCGGAGCATTTACAAGTACTCTGCTCTTTGCAAATCGAAAGAAACCAACCGCGTGCCTTCTTTGACAAATGGATATAGGTAAGTTGAAATCCACAATCTGACAAGGCCATTTATAGTTTGGAACTTAACCCTTGGAACGAATGCCTACTAACTCTTGAATAATCCCAAAATGCAGCGACGAAGTTAACGGAATCGACAGAGGCTTCACCAAGCTAGTTGATCCCGCTAAAGACATGCATGGCAACCCCCGTACACCGGATCACCAGCCTGTTCAATCCCATTCAGCAAACCCCATGCCAGTGTATATTGATCTCGACGACGATTGTAACGTCGGGTTCAAACACTGGCATCCCACTCCCGTCACGCAAAACGGAAATAGGCTTTCCGGCCACGGTGAATTGGGAGGAGTTTGGGAGTGGACAGCCACTCCCCTCCATGCGCATGAAGGGTTCAAGGCCATGGATCTTTATCCAGGGTATTCGGGTATGTGTTACAACATCCTCTAGAACCCCC